ATTTTTCGTCAACACTAACTAAACCAAACTATTTACAATCCTAATTATCATATTCTCGATATAGATTGTAAGATTTTACAATTTTATGATTTCAATTCAGTTAGATGATTTGGATCTCACTAGGATATAAAATTTTGTAAAACTTTTAAATGACTATAATCCTAATCATAAAATCATATTATCGTCTCGATTTTAAAAAAAAAAAATTTATTATTATTTATTTCTTATATATGTATGTATATCCGCATACCTATATTAAAATTTTGACACTAAACTCCCTCTTTAAGCACTTGTTTGGCATGAAGAAGTTTGGAAAATTTTGGTTAAAATAGTTATAAAAAGATAAAATAAATTAAAAAGTAAATAAGATAAAATGTTATATTTAAACTATAATCATTTCATTTTTTCTCATACAAAAGTCAAAATAATTAAAAAAAATCATTCAAAACGAGACTTTTTAACCTCAGACTAAAATAGTTAAAAAAACTAACCCACATCCCAAATGAAACCTAAGTTTTCTCTCTAATTTATATTAGAATTGAAAATGTATTATATCAAATTTTTCAATCTCTTAGTGATTTTGGAATTATTTGACATATTTTGTCATTGTTGATAATTTTTTATTTTATTTTATATTAAACCAATTCAATTTTATGATCTGATTTATGAGTCTTTTTCGATTTTTCTAGATACAATCACTGCCACCTAAATCACATATAAATGAAACAACTTTTGTTAAAAAATTTCACAAAATAATATCCAGGCCTTTTTGAGAATGTAAAAAAAAAAAAAAATTAATTTATTTATTAATTCATTAACTTATTCAAATCATATCACCTTTTTACTTTTTACCATTTTTTTTTAACATATTTTTTCATAATAAGGTCTAGTTTGGGAACACTAAATAAGTACACTTTTTGACTTTTTATGAAATATGGATTGGATTTGAGTTGGGTTTGAAGTGATGTGTTAGAGAGGTGATGTGACTTAAATAAGATGATGTGACTTAAATAGAATAGTGACTTTTTATCTTTTTTCAATCATGTCAAACTTGACCTAAATCAATAATTAAAAAAAAAACACTTTCCAAAATCGATTATTTTGTTTCACATTTGTATATTCGGAATGTTTTGGGCGCACCGCCTAGATATTTTCTAAGAGAAATAATGTCGCTATTACGTCATCAAATTAAGCCATTTATGGGGATATCAACATCAGTATTACGTCACACAGTTTCATCGTTATCTATTTTTTTTTTTTTTTTCACATGCTGATGGTACGGCCGAAGTGTTAAAACCTATTTTATAATTATTTATAAAATATATGTTATTTCCCTTTTGTGTGTGTCAATATAAATATGTTGTGATTGGATTATCATTTAAGATAACTATAAGATATATACATATATATATATATATATAATTTAAGAACCAATCATAAAATTAGATATAATTTTGAAAAATATTAAGGATCTCAAATACTTTATTAAAAATTTCATCAAATATTTTATATGAATGTAGAACCCACACTATATGAATCTCACACTCAAAATATTTAATAAAATATTTGACATCTCTAATATTACTCTACAATTTTATTAGATAAAGTAAATCTTAGTAGCTATCATATGAGGCTGGTATAGTTTTAAGATAACTATAAGATATGTATAAAAATAAATAATAATAATAACAAGTCTAAGAACCAATTGTAAAATCATATATAATTCTATTACATAGAGTGAATCTTATCTTTCTATAAATCTTACCCTCATTCAAGAAAATAGTTAGACTTAATTTTCATAAAATCTTATTAAAAATAAGTTCTTGTAAATTGTAGCTAAAAAGAATTTTTTATGACATTTTTTATATATGTCACTAAAGATTGATAATTAATGACTTTTTGGTCATAATTTTTATAAACTATTGTTAAAACTTATAATTAGTGATATTTTTCTATGACAATTTTCAAGTTGTCACCAAAAATTTAAAATTAGTGATTTTTTGTAACGATTTTTTCGAACTGTCACTAATATTTATAATTAGTGACATTTTTTGTGACAAAATTTTCCAACTATCACTGAAAATTAACAATTAATAACGCTTTTGAATAATGTTTAATAAAAAATATCATTAATTATCATAAAATTTATTGAATAATAAATTTATTTATTGAAACCTACACGTAATATGTGTTCATAGAATTTTAATTATTTATTTTCTCATAGGAAAGGGTATAAAAGCAAGGTTATAAATGAACAGAGTCATTCGTGAATAGATTCTGGGCTCGATAAGAGCTCGTTTGAACTCAATTCATTAATTTTTTTTTTTATTTGATTTGATTTTTTTTTTTTTTTCAATTCGAACTTGATAAATTTTTAATAAACAAGTCCAAACATTCTAAACTCGGCTCGTTAACTGACTCGTTTAATATTTATTATTTATATATTAATGTAAAAATATGTATAAAAATAAAATAAATATATTATTTATATATTTAAAAAATAAATGTAAATAATAGTTAACTATAGATAGTATATTTAAATATTATTATTTTGGTGAAATATTAATTTTTTTTTAAGTATGTTTATATGTATTATATAATCAAAGTTTTAATTGTAATTTTAGTCTCATATGCAAGTATTAATTTATAAATTTTTTGACTCGTTAAGACTTGTGAACAGATTTTAGCTCGAGTCAAACTTAAGCCAACTCGGCTCAAATTCAATTGGTTAAGTTTTTATGGAATTCGAACACGAGTTCGAATTCGTTAAAATCTTAATAAACAAGTCCAAGCATATTAAAGTTCAGGTTGACTCTATTTGTTTGCAACCCTATATATAAGGAGACTAACACGAGACAATGGCTTGTGAGCAGTGGCGGAGGCACAACAGGGCTAGGGGGGTCACATGCCCCCCTTAGTTTTGATTTTTTCTTTTTCTTTTGTTGCAATGTTTACACACAATATGTAGTTTATTTAGTACTCTTGGAGTGTCATGTAGTGTTAAATTTTATGAATGCAACATAACAACTCATTATTGTTAAGCAATTGAAAGATAATAGGTGAATCACTTAATGTGAGTTGCGATTTTTTATATTCAAAGCACCACTTCATCAACACAACATAATATTCTGGGATTATCTAGTAATTTCTATTCAAAATACATTTTTATAATCAATACTATCTCTCTAATATTTTTCTATCAAATAAAAATTATAGAAATTTTATAATGATTTGTGTTATAAATGTTTTGCTTCTATTTTCTAAATTAAGAATTTTAACTTGTAATTTTTTGTACCAAAATGGCATACTTACATTATTACTATTGTGTCTGAGTTATTCCACATTATTATAGAATTTTGATTAGTTACTATTAATAATAAATAATTAAATTTTATACTTAAATTTAGCTCATAAAATTATTATTATTTTATTATTGATCACCAAAAAAAATTAAAATTATAAAATGTCCTAACTACCTTAATTTCTTGGCTCAGCCACTACTTGTGAGGATGACTCAATGTGGAGTCAAACAAGAAAAGTTTAGACGAGACTTCAACATAGAGGTAAGAAGCCAGTGGCAGTGGCACACAGGACTAATGAACATGAGTCTCGTGTGGTGCCTCCTAGTTACCAATGGTATGACTCAAATTCGAATTAAGTAAAAGGATTTATTTTTTAAAAAAAATCATAAATCGATTCGATTCAATCCTAGTTCTTGACAGTTAGGTCCATGATTTTATAGTTATAATTTTAATTTTAAATTGAACAAATTTAGTTCCATTTATTTAAATATATATATATATATATTTGTTATTTGTCATACACTTAAGTATCTTCTCAATATCACTTATATATTCATAAGTTTTTAACCCTTTTCTCTTGCAAATAAGTCCTTAACCCTCTTCTCTTACAAGTGTGTTCTTATATAATGATAAGACTAATTTTAAACAATTATTCAAATAATTATTATCTGTAAAATGATTATATATTGTCTGATATTTGAGAATGTTGTGATTATATTGTGCATGATGACTTGTTTATAGAAATCGTAGTTCCAAACTGAAATGAATCCCGTTTTCATAGTTTGGTTTGGTTTGATTTCAATATTTTAAGATTCAGTTTGATTCCAAATTTCATAAAACCGTAATTAATAATTCGATATTAGTTTACTTCAAAACCAAACCAAATTGAACCTTGCTCTCCCCTAACTCGAATCCTAACCACCAAATCAGTTGAGAATAAGCCTGATGATCATAGTATGAGATCATCTATCCCAATGCCTATCCACCAAATCACTTGAGAATAAGCCCCTGACCATTTTATGACGTCTGTCCAAATTCTTGTGTCATTCTATATCCCCGTCCCTATCTTGATTTTCTTTATTCGAGAGATGAAAGACAAGAGATATGGTTAAGCTCTGAATCTAAATTGGGTTAGGAAGTTTCGTTTGAAACACCTCAATTCAATATTTTTTTTGTTTATAAAGAATTGCAAGTTTAAAATTATTAACTATCTGGATTCTACTTTTAAAACAATAAGACACATCCAAATTGGTTTGTTTTTGTAGTCTATACTCTTCATGACCCATGGATTATTGTCTGACTTAAAGCTCAGATAGTTCAGTACTTCTCTCTAGACATTTCAAGAAGAGTAAGACAAAGATAAACGTAGCATTTAACCAATAGGGTTATGTCAGTTAGTCAGGATTTATGGGTTTCAACCTCAAAATTAATATTATCTTGTATATGTAAAATGAGAAACTGCATATACTTCAAATGCTTAAGCTCGGTGATTATCTGGTATATATGAGATGAGAGATTTTTTTTTTTTTTGTTGAGAATAATCGAGACTACATAGTAATTTTCCCAATATTTTTTTTGGGTCAAATTTGTCATTTTGGAAAAAAAAATAAGGATTAGAATACAAGATTTGTGGACTCAAAACAAAGTTGCTTCTGTACAAAAAAAAAAAAGAAAAAAAAAAGAAAAAGAAAAAAAAAGGGATAAAAATGGCAGTTAGCCATGCACAATTATGACATTTATGAACAAACAAAATGATTTTGAAGTTACAAGCTTATCTCTGAATTAACACAATTGGGATCACAATTATTCATATTTGCACTGTGATTGGAAGGTATGGAAGCATGGAGTTAGTGTATACATATATTATTATATATCATGCACCTCCATATCCATCACCTTCTACTCTCATCATCATCTCCTTCTTCCCACATTTCGACCCAATTCTTCTGAGCTTCTTCAAACCCTAGAATGGAACCCTTCTTCTTTGGATCCAAACTAGTAGACAGAGTCCCATAAGCAATCCCAAGTGCAGAAGCCCCAAAAGTGAGAAAAGTAGTCAAGAGAGGTAACCAAAGTGGCACATCCCACAAATGTTGTTCTTTTGCTACATTAAAAACTATCAAGAATGCTATGCCAATGACCATAGGAACCCCCACATAAAACAAGATTCTCACTATCATCCTCTCAAACACCACCTCCGGTATCTTGTCATCATCGTCACCTCCGAATTTCCTTTCAAAGGATTTTGACCTAGTAATGGTTTCTGTGCTTTTAATCTTCCCATCTTGTACCTTAGCTTGTGTTCTGCTGCAGCCTTTGGCTTTGGCATGCACTTTCCATGTTCTTGGGTGGAGGGTTGTTGGGCTTCTTGGCTTGCATGAAGGTAGATTTGTAATGTAGATGGGTGGTTGTTCTACACAAATTAGGGTTTTCATGGCTTCTTTTAGGGCTTGTTACTTGCAATGCTATGGGCCTCTGTTGTTGTAATTAGAAACCTTATCCTGGAAAATGAATGGTTGTGCCTTTGTCTCACAAGATATGCTATGTGCTGTTTTTATCTACAGATATTTTTTAAGATCTTTGAGGTTTTTGTCTTCGGTAAAGAGACAAAGTTATCCTCACAAGGCTGCAATGCAACTTCAAAAATACATTTTCTCCTAGTCCAACCAGGGCAAGCCACGCCAACATAGCTAGGGCTGCTGTTGTCATTTCACTTTATGCAAGCATTCACGTATTTTGATAGCTTCTAAAATACATTTAGTAAAGTATCTTCTTACATTCACATAAAAGAGTTTTCTTACAAGGCACAAGAGTCATATCATACTGTATATGTGGAGGGTGTAGAAAGATGCAAAAAGAAATTTAAGGAGTGTATCTAGAAACTTTCAAATATTTTGTAGAACAGTAAGTTACAATCCCAAAACAAAAAATCCCAAAAAGTTTTCAGAATTTCACATCAATAATCAAGATTCACTTAAACTGTAGTCGCATAACAACTTTTAATATACACTATTGATCTAAAATTAGTGATAATTTTCTGATGTCATAGGCCTTCTATTTATAGAAAGACACCTATTCCAAGATTCATTTCGTGCTATCATATTCCAAATAAATTTGGACCAAACAGTTCACTTTCTCCCTACGACAGTTTGTATCTTTAACTTACAGCTGTTACACTGGATTGGGCATTACACCATATTTGTAACAAATCAAAGAAGAAATGTATGGTTTTCACCCCTTCAAAAAACAGGAGCACGTTCGTAAAAAAGTCAGAAATTTTTGTGATAAAAGTTACGAATATTTGTAATGCACGTTATGCCATTTTGTGATAAACGTTATGAATGAAGAATTTAGGGTGTACACCCTAAAGTGAAGTTACGAACCATTGCGGTTATTTCATAAATGGTTTAACGTAAATCTTACAAACCATTTGTAGTGAGAAATATTACAAATTATTCTGATAAAAAAGTTACGACTTCTTGCCATGTATGTTATGAAATGTTGTCATGTTATGCATGTGTGATGTATGTTATGAAATGTTGTTATGTTACCATGTTGTGGTAAGGTGCATATTTTTAAGGGTTAGAACCTAAGATCAATTGGGTTGATTTAAGGTTATAAACAATCAAATTTTTAAGGGTTAGAACCTAAGATCAATTGGGTTGATTTAAGGTTATAAACAAATCAAGTAAAACTAAGGAGTAGATTGGTCATGCTAGCTTAAAAACTAACAAGTTTCAAAATGTGTTCAAACATTACTTATTAGAGTTTTGCTACATCATTCCATTTTATCACCCCTAATTACACCTCTAATGAGGTAGCAAACAATTTTAAAAGAATAGAAAAGTTTGAAGAGAGTTGATTAGTTGGTATTGTTTGCCACCTCATTATAGGTGTGATTGGAGGCAATAAAATGGGGGAATGGAACATTTCTCTACTTATTAATCTTTCGAGTTGATCTCAAATGAACTTTAATTGAGCCAATAACAACCCGAGCTTGAGTAATTTGGATTTTCTACAGTGTATTTAACTAGGTTGAGCCAAATAATAGATTGTTCAACTTTGACTTGAAAATTAACGAACTTTAAAATGTGTTCAAATTAACTTGTTTTCATACTGAATCAATCTCAAACAAGCTTTTGATGAGCCCAACACAAGGCGAGCTCAAGTAGCTTAGATCATTATTTAATGGAATTAGTTGTTTAGTGGTCACTTGTTATCTCCTCCCATCAAAAAACATATGTTTCTCCATGGTACTTGATATATGCAGTACTATTTCTCCTTTACAGTCCACCAAATCTTAATTTGACCAAATCTTTGGTAGTTTGTTTCAGTATCTACCTCAGAAGAGGTTCCTCAACATGATCCAGTTCAAAAAATATATCAAACTAGTATTAACAGCAAGATATTGAGCCACTCTGCGCACTTAAAAAGATTATCGACAAAAAATATATCAAACTAGTATTAACAGGAGATCGAGCCACACAACCAAAAAGATTATCGACATAATGGCGAAGCAATGGATTTTCAAAATTGTAAATTGCATTAAATTAATCAAATACAAAAGCTGGAAAAGAGCAAGGAATATTTCTACCTGCTATATTCACTTCTCAGCCCAAGAGGGTACAACAAAACATTTATGTTGAACTACTAAAAATTGTCACAACTCTGTTTGGCGAGCTTCTTTCTTCTTTTGCAGCTTGTGATGACTCCTAGGGAACAGTAGATCATTCAGTTGTCTCTCGGCACTATACTCTGAAGAGGCCTGCAAATACGATTCAGTTGGGACAAAAGCAAGTATTAACAATATATCAACCTCAGGCATAGGGATACTGCATCTTGTAGTCCTTCACCATCATTAATGCTTCATTTGTTTCGGCGAAAAACATTTTCCTACATTTCGTTGCAACTTTGAAACTTATGTGCTAGTCATTGTATTAGTGGTGGTGGGGTGGAAGAGGTGGGGGCGGTGGTGGTGGTGTTGTGTTGGTGGGGGCGTTGGGGTGGTGGTGGTGAGGCGGCGGAGGAGATGGCGGTGGTTGTGTGGTGGCATTAGTAAAACTTTAGTCCAGAAAATATTTTCCAAATTTGAAAAGTGAAAAAACATTTTCTGCCCATGAGCTTGTTTTCCATTTAACAAAAAAAAAAATATGTTGACTTTCATTTTCCATCATACCAAACGCCAGAAAAAGCAAAAAATATTTTTCGTCCAAACAAATGGAATGTAGTATTAGAAGTATATAGTCAATTTCATGTATGTGAACTGTGTACAAAGGTACAGGTAATGCATGACAGCCATGCATCCATCACAATTAAAATTTAGAGAATTTACTTTTTCGTTTTAGACATGTTGGACACTTGTCCAACAAGTGTGAAGGCTTCGTACAATATAAGTGCAAGCATATAGGGCCTGTGTCAGTGCCCATGTTGCTTTAAACACCCTTTATATTTTCAAATCAAGAGGTAGTCTGTACTTATTGGAGAGCTCATAAGCTTTGAAATTCAATTTCTTTTTTTTAAAAGCAGGTATCTAAACTAAACCACTAAAGCATGCAAATGAAAGGGATGTGGCTAGGAAGAGCTCAGTGCGACTTGTAAACAAAAATGTAGAATTCAAAGAAAAATGGAGGCTCTGGATAGATAGATACCCGTTTGTTAAATGTAAACCGCAATGTTTGTACTTGTGTTCCTGAGCAAATTCTCAAGTCGAAACCAAGGGCGTCCACACCAATAAGTGTTGCCTCCTGTCAAAAGTTGCAACAAGGGTTAGATATACAAAAACTCAATCAAAAGCATATAGAACAAAAAACAATAAAAAAATTTAACATGCCTTGAAACCTATTTTCTCTCCAGTTAGATGTCGAGATGCCATGCATGACTGCTAATGTGGCATGGTTATTATTAACTCAAGATCCAATCATGTCGAGAGCTGAGTTTCATTTTTATTTTCACAAAGCAGTAGATTTCAAAAGCTTCTTGTACAATGTCCAAGATTTTTTCAAACAAAATTAAAGATAGTATAAAGGTACATCAGCCTAATTGTACATAAATATGCCATCCACTAGCAAAATCCAAAACCAAAAGCTACTTACATTTTTGGTCTACATTAAAAATTATTTCAGAAACTTATTTCACAAGGTCAAGCGTGTTACCTCTGCTTGAATACCCTTGCATCTCCAACAGAGTGATTTGAGAGCTTGCGTGGTCTTTTCCCCACCAGCTTTAAGACGAGATATAATCTTGGCAGCTGAATGTGCAATAGCATCAGGTCGGGCTTTACGAAAATCTTCTACTTCAACAAAAGTCTGCAAACAGTAGAACCAATAAAACTTATAAGTTTGTTCCTTTGTTGTCAACAGTAATGATTGACCCATAGAGCCACCCACTGAAAAACCTACCATCACCATTGAGAAAGCAAGGGGAAAAAAATGGTTCCAGTAAATGATAGTGTACTCTTTTAAGTCAACGATTCGTAGAGTGAAAGCAAGAGCGCCCATTGTAAAAATACCTTCAGAGTATGAGCTCCTCCAGAGCATGTTGATTAATAAAAAATACCTTAGAACTCTTAAACAAAAGGTCCGGTGGTTTACTGGTAGTTACTGTGTGGGCTAGTGCTCCTTGCCTCTGATAGGTCAAGTGCTCGAAACTTCCAGGATGCAATTGATAATTTTAACTTCTATGCGGCTCACCCTATAAAAATATGTACACGTGGCAATCAATTATAAATTGAACTCGTTTGAATTTCGCTGATTTAATCTGCTTTTGTTCTAAATTCACCAAGCCGTTCGTGATCCATCGACCATATTGTAGGGATCAGGTGACTTAAAGAGTGCACTGTTACAAGCCAATATGTTTAAAAAGAATCATGCTTCCATACCACAACATAGCATTACGGGCAAATTACACAAATAGTCCCTATAGTTTGGGGTTTGTGTCACTTTGGTCCCTAACTTTTCAATTGTAACACATTTGACCCTGAATTTTAAATCATGTTCCAAATAAAGACAATTGAAGATATCATTAGATTTTGCAAGGGTAAAATTGTCAATTTGATAAAATATAAACTAATCTGACAAAAACAAATATCAAACAAATATTTTTGAAGTTTTAAAAATTATTTCTACTCACTAAAAATAAAATTATGTAAAATTGATATATCTTTTAGACATTTATTTATTTTTTTTACCAAATTAATTTTTATTATACGTTTAGATGATAATCATGTAAAATTAATTTTAAAAAATTAATCATGTAATTTTTATTAATTTTACATAATTTTATCATTGGTAGATAAAAATAATTTTTAAAAAATTAAAAATATTTTTTTGACATTTATTTTTGTCAAATTAGTTTATATTTTATTAAATTGACGATTTTACCCTCAAAAATCTAATGATATTTTCAATTGTCCTTGTTTGGAACAAGATTCAAAATTCAGGGTCAAATGTGTCACAATTAAAAAGTCAGGGACACAAGCCCCAAACTATAGGGACTATTCGTGTAATTAACCCTAGAAATCCATTCACATACCAAGTTTAGCATGACCATAATAACACATAAAAGCATAGAACACAATTATTAAATATATTTAAGATTTCTTGCCCACATGTCTACCTATGTTAAGTCATTTATTTCCTTTTCCCTTTTCATAGTTGTACAGTATACATCTCAAGCCAACTAGACGACATAGAGTACAATAAAAAAGTGCCCACAAATAATGGTGCAAGATTTCATTTGTTTACAAAAATTTTGACAGACATCAGCTAGACCCTAACAAGTAAGAGTGCAAAAAAGGTTATGTTTCCATCCTGATCAAACTACATGTCATATCAGATGGAATGACTTTTAAAGAAAGCTAAAAAAGAGCAAGCTTCATTCATGAAATGAATAATTAATGTGGTTTCTGATATTTCTTGTTAGAATCTGCACTTTTCGTCACTGAGGTAGGAAACCTCCGAGGCTCTAACTAATCTTCAGGATTTTCAAGTACACAACTGACTGCTAGTCATGCATGATAAATGAAAAAACTCCAAATGTCAAAACCAAGTTCATAAGCAACTGCTCTATTTTAAGATGCTACTAAGAAATCTAAAAATATACCTGATGTCCATGTGCTGAAATCAATTGAATCTTAATCATCTCTAGCTTGTAGAATGAAGTCCCATTTCTAACGCTTTCACCCTTCTCCAATTCCTCTGCCCAAATGTCGCTATCTTGAGCTGACCCTGGCCCATGTCTGTGACCATTAATGATTCCAATGTCTTCTACTTTGTCTTCTACACTTCTCTCAATCTGATCCGAGTTATTATCACCAGATTGATCATTGGATTCAGATATATGTTTCTGTATGACAGAATGTTCTTCAATAAAGGCTGGTCTTAGAAGGCCTTGAACAGCAAGGCCAGCAGGAGGCTGATCCATAAAATCTATAGGATCATCTGATGCAACCTGAGCAACAAGAAGTTCAAACAAAAATATGAAGCCCCAGTAAACTTATTATTTGGTGATTCAAATAGAAAAGAGGAAAGAGAAGACAGACAAAATTGTTAAAAAAAAAATAGAAGAAAATGTTTAGATTTTTGTACACTATTAATTACGATTTCATCATAGCATTGAAGACTTGCAAAAAATTACCTCAGACATTTTTTTAGCAAAATACATCGGATGAGAAAAACGCATGGTCTCCAATTTTGCCCAGTCCCCAAGTGATTCATCAGAATCCTCCTGATCTTCCTCATCTTCAAGAATGGAAACCCATTCCTACAAATAAACATTTAAACTAAAATGGGCAAGGCCATAGAGCTACAAGTCCCATGCTTGAAAAACTTAAATAAAGAGTAGTCACCCCATCATAATTGTCATCCTCATCCTCATCTTCATCTTCATCTTCATCATCATCATCATCATCATCATCATCATCATTGTCTTCAACATCACTATCTTCATCATCAATTTCCTCAATACCAAAATCAATTTCTGATGAACCTGCTAATTCCATCTCACTAAGCAATTCTGCAGTATCCAAGCCTATTATGACTTGCTGCATTGTTTTTAAAACTAAGTAAGCACTGTGTTCAAAAAACATATTTAAGGGATAAAACTATAAAACTGTAATAAATATATTAGTGGTTGCACAAATGCAATGCACCCAAGTCAGTGTTACATGGACTCTTCTATTGCCCCCACGATACTCATGTCCACCAGATATGACAAGAACCACGGTGTGGGAAATATGTCCGACCCCTTCTATCTGATTTAGACACTTAGATTCTCAACTTATATAATGTTTGAAGAAGAAAATGCTCGTATTTGCTACTAAAAAAATATTTCTTGCCTCACCTGGTCCCTGTATCCGTACCCAATTGGATAAATATCCCAATATAGTAAGATTTATGTTTAGGAAAAACATTCGGACATGCACTCGTACCTGATACTAGTACGTGAGTCCATAGAACATAGACACAAGTAATAGGTGAAAGCTATCACAATATATGCGACTAACAAGACGGTCATAAGAAATTTTAAGGTAAAGCTATGATTCACCCAAGGTTGTCAGTCCCATACCAGGGTACCGGCCAAGATATACTGTTTTGACTAAAAATATATTACATACACAGCTCCGTTTCGTTCTGGTGAAAATACCGGACTATTCCGGCTCATCTCAGAAATTACGGTGCATTTCGGCTTGTCCGGCCCCCGACTGGTTTCGTCTGATACAAATAAAAACCATAAAATACTTCCAACCAGTGCTCTCCGGAAAGTTTCTGGAAGTGATCTAACATGTGACGAAGGACCAAAGTAACCGAAGGCTGAGAGCATAAAAAAGCTCTGGAAGGGAGAGAGAATATTCAATTCTAATGTGAGATTTTTTCAACTTTTTGGATGTGATGTGATTTTGCTGCGCGATTTGATACATACAATAATAAATCTATGAAACTGACAGAGAGTTAATTTAAGGACATAATCCAGTGTGGCACTACTCATGTGCACCAATGCAACAAAAATATATCAAATTATTATATTTTAAATGAATTTAATATTTTTCATAAATATATGATAGTTACAACGATAAATCCGAAATGGTACAATGAAATGTATCGGTACCAATATGTACCATACCAATTAAGAAAACGGTACATTAACTGGTATGGTATCGACAACTTTGGATTGGATTCACCATTAGTTATGACTTTCAACAATTTGAAATAAATAAAAATGAAACAATGGTAAAAGTCATGTAATTCTTTACAAATTTATGTAAATGTACAATGTTGACAAAAAGAAAAGTTCCAGTAGAATAATAAACCATAGAGCAAGACAAAGGGACATGGAAACAACTAGAGCTGAATAAGACAAAATTTTGTAGAAAAAAATGATGTATTATTGATTGATATTTGATTGATAGATTACAGACAAAGGGACATGGAAACAACTAGAGCTGAATAAGACAAAATTTCAATGAAGAGGAGTTCAAGCAGCTGAGATATATAAAAAATTTAGAGAAGGTGGCAAGGGTACACCCCTTTTAAGAGAGAGAGAGAGAGAGAGAGAGAGAGAGAGAAACTATATCACCAACAAAAACAAAAGATCCAAAAACGTAATACTCCACAAGCTAAAATGTCCCTTCTTCAAGGATCAAAATTACTAAACCCTTTCCCTCACCACTTCCTGCACACTGGCCCACTAGGTCCACACTCTCCTTTTGGCCTTCACAATTAATTGTGCGCTCTAACCTCTTAAGCTCCCTCTTTTTCCTCGCGGATGAAGACCCTCCTTCCTTTTTACTCTTAGCTTTACGAAGTCCCCTGCCACCATCTTTTATCAGTATCTGCCTAGCTTCAGACTCAAAACCTATGTAAGAAACCCCCAGAATATCACAAACACACTCATGAACGGACAAAGCAAAGCCAAAGGAGGAAAAGGACAAGGAAAATCTTAATGCATCATCCAGGCACCACCTTAATATGCTTGTGACTATGCATATGTGCAAGTATTGCATGAGCGAGTTTGTTAGAAGTCTACATTCACATACCACAAGGTTATCCTCAGCACTTAGGGTTTTCAGAATGTCTTCATCATTTTTAACCTGAAAATAAATATCTGACAAGAAGCCAGAGCATATAAAACTTCAATAGAATAGGTGGAGCTGCCAACCACAAACCAAGATTACTAACTATTATAACAACGATCTGATATATCCAAACTTACTTCCATATTCATCAGTCACATAAGGCAAATCTGGCCAGAAAATGTTATCATGAACTTCTTCATTTACAAAACCTGTAAACATTAGTGTTGCTTTGCTGTTTACCTGAAGAAGAAATGATAGAAGAAGAAACATCAGATATGCATATCCAGGCACAGGATTGATAAAAAAATGTGGCTGTAATTATTGGAGTATGTTACAATTAAGACAATGAATCCATTGGCAAGCAACCAGGAGGAAAAATATTATTGAACAGCTTGATCCGGATGCCTTTTAGAAGGAGGCTGATGGAAAAAATTTAGTGTTTTGGCAAGTAATCTGCTAAAAATATTTTCCTTTTAACTGCAAATTTGCCTTGTATCTCATTTACATTTGGGGAAAAAAAATTCTTGCAATATGTAAACTGATCTCATTACAAGCATGGCCTTGCAAATTGGGATTCAGGTGATTTCAGTGTAATTGGAAGCACTAAATCTGGTTAAACATTTAGACCTACTTCATCCGTTCAATTGTTCCCATGAAATTTCAATTGCTTATTCAATTTGAAAGTTTTAAGCAGAGTGGATGTTGTAGTAATTTTAATTCCTAGAGATTAAAGAGAGTTAAAGAGAGCAGGTGCCACTTCCTTTTTTGCTTAAATCACGGTTGTTAAAATCGTGATCCTAGGTAGGATCGGTGAGAGAGACTAGTGGATCAAATCGAGGATTGTAAGACCCTACTTTCTATCAAAAAAGAGATAAAAATACAAATTAAAATGATACATATTAAAAATAAGGAGAAAGATCCTACTTGCGATCCTACCTACGATCCTATACGATCTCATACGATCCTACACGATCCCATGCGATCCTACACGATCCTACTTGTGATCCTATTATAACATCGATCCTACAACAATTTGGATCGTTTTAGCAATGTAGGATCGTACGATCCGGATTGCAATTTTAATAACCATGGTTTAAATTTATTGAAGCATGCATTCAAATGACCTCACATATTAACCAATTACCATGACTTAAAGCCCTTTCAACCCTCCTCTACTAAAGGCCAACAAAATAAATCCTCCTAGATGATTATTCCAAACAAACACTCATACATTATCTCAATGAGTTTAACTTCATTAAACTAAGATTGCATTTGGGTTTATCTATTTGAAATTAAAGAATTTGGATATTAATTATTCAAGGAGAATAACTCAAATTTAGTTATCAATTTTAAGATTAAATTTGAGAGCTTCATCACGAGAGATTATGATAAATTTGAAATACCAATATAAAAGTGGTTTTTTAAAATCCTTCATACTAAATATTGTAGTTGCACCAACATCATAATAACATATTCTCTTCTCACTCACCTATCTTACCCTCTAATTGCTCACTCTGTTACCCTCTAATTTCGCCATCTATCTATAATAATAGCCAACTCTCCAATACTTTCATAAAGTTCTAACCTCGTATCTCTACATTTGAAACCCACCTATCCAAACAAACGTAAGTTCAATTAGAATTCATTCTTCCACAAAATCATATTCTATGTCTTGAAAACCAAATGTTTGCACTTTGCAATACCTCAATGATGGTCCTAGTAATTTCTGCCGGTGTAAGTCTGGCATCTCCGGCCTCCATCAATTCTGATTCTACAATGTCCTCAAATGGATGGTACCGTGACGGCTTTGCATTCGGTTTTATGGGACTTGAAGCTGCCCCTGATTGCTCCTCCACAGAAGCTCTAACTCTGTTCTTGACAAAACTGTTCCTTCTCATACAAGAACCATCCGCTAATCTCTGAAATTTGTTCCTGCAAATCAATTTCAACCAATTTCTTTGAACTCCTCCTTCTAAATATAGCTAGTTGTGAAAACAATTTCCTCTTGCATCAATTTCACTTTTATCCTCTAAAATTAATCTCGTCTATCCAGTCCAAAAGTTTCTGATTTCCCTTCATGTGATCCAATTAGGCTGTGTTTGGTTTATGTATTTGAGAGGTGATTTGGAAACAGAAAGGAAAAGATGCATGAAATGTAGTTATATTTTACCTCCCTTTTCCCTTTCTATTTCCAAATCCTTCCCAAATCCATGAACCAAACACACCCTCAGAGACGACTGGACCTATCACTAATTGATGAAGCCTACTTCAATGAATAAAAAGTAATTGTTATAATTTGGACAAGTTGAATCATACAGTTTGTGCAAAGTTGCCATGATCATACAATTCTATGATTTAAGTTGTTCAAGTTCTTGAATAATTTGTTTTTCATCAAATTCATTGATTTGTATATTGAACAAAGCGTACTGAAATCATAAATTTAGGAACTAAGTAGATGAAATTGATAGTTTAGCGATGAAATGAACAAAAATAAAAAAAAAATGGTGATAGTTTAGAGGATAAAAGTGAAAATCATCATTTCCACTGCTTTTGTATCTTGAGAAAGTGCAACAAAGAGAAAAGAAAGTTAAAAATGTGAATACCGGGAGGAATGAGTGTAAAATAAGCTAAGATTATAAAGTTTGGGGTCTATTCATTTTCCATTACATTTTCCTGGGAAAGAAAATGGAAGTAGTACCAAGGCATGAAGAGTCTGGTGGAGTGAGAAAGGCGGCGGGAGGTGGTGGAGGAGTCGAATCTGGCGGAGGCGGTGGAGGAGAATCGGACGGCGGTGGAGGGTTCTGCCATCAGCATTTTTTTGGTGATGGCGGTGAGAAAAGATCAGAGAGAGAGAGAGAGAGAGAGAGGAGAGAGCTTTTTGTTGTCTGATGGCTTTGGGGGTTGTTGTGTGGTTCTATTTTATCCGATGAGGCGCGTGAGGTGTCGTGTCGTGTTAGAGGCTGTTTATGCTTGGTGTTGTACATACATTTCCTACTATACTCTCTGTCTTCAGTTCGGCAGTAGGGATTCTCTGCTACGTTTTTACTTTACAATCGCTACAGCCAGACGCTACGACCAATGAGCGTCATATCATATATCATACCATAAAAATAAGGATAAATTTACCCTCACTTGCCCATAAACCTGAAAAAGATACGGTTAATTTCACACCTCCCATATAATTATAACTTTTCTAGAAACAGTAACCCAAATTAATGTTAATTGTAAGAAAAATAATTTATTTACATAATTTTTCTTCCTACATTCTCAAAATGACATGATAATTAAAATTAAAAAAATTAATTCATATTTTAATATTTTTTCAAAATTTTCCTTCCGTACATTTTGTCTCGTCACCTCTCCAAATGACATGATAGCTAAAATTTGAAAAATTACGTACATTGTCTCGTCACCTCTCCAAATGACATGACATTTAAAATTTGAAAAATTATTCATATTTTAATATTTTTTAAAAATTCTCGTTAGATACATTTTGTCTTATCATCTCATTTTGTGGAAAGAAAAATGTAAAAATCTGTATTTAATTATTTTAAAAATAAAAAATTTGCATTATAAGACGCGAATAATAAATTAATTTTATCTAAAATCTATATTAATGTGTAAGTTTGTTTTAAACTAATCCAATTCAATGACTAATAAAAACATTGTTAGAAATAATAATTTTATAAGTATTCAATATTAATTATTTATAATTTAATTTAATAAATATTTAACATAATAATTATTTTTATTAAATATTTTAGTTAAAAATCTGAATTAATTAATTTTTGAAAACCCATGCAAAAAAAATAAAATAAAATTTGGTCGCCTTGTGTGTGATTAATCACCCAACACTTGTATGCATGCATGTAATAGTACGAAAATATGCTCATTGTATACCTTGGAATTAGAAGATATGATGGGACTTATGAGAGAGAGAGAGAGTGTGTGAGAGAGAGAGAGAGACCCTTAGTCAGATGGACTCCTATATATACGTACACATATGCTTGCATGCTTCTCTTATCAGAGAAAAGAGGAAAAAAAAATCTATGCTTTCTTTTAAAAAGTTGTTAAGAATGATGGTTAGAGTTGGTTTGGAATGTTTTAAGAAAGTGTATTTTTTGATTTATTAATTTATATAAATTGAGTTTGGGTTGGATTTGATGTGATGTGTTAGAGAGATGATGTAATTTAAAAAGGATAGTGATTTTTTAACTTTTTGTATTATTTAGGTTATGCCAAACTTGGCCTAGTTGATTTAGGAATTTTTGTAATAATTGCTTTAATTTTGTATGAATTTATACAAAATTTTAATTAAATTTGAAATTGTAGACAGATCTTATTGCATGTTTGAAAAATCATTAAAAATTCTATATTAAACCAAATCTGATAATTTCTAAATAAAAAATGAAATTTGAAAAGTTTAGTTTCATAATAATTTTTTATATTATAGAATTGATTTATAAATTTAAATGTGGAATTATTTTTAAAAAAATGTGATGAATCTGTGTCATGGAATTTCTTGAAATTTTACAGAATTATTTATAACTTATTTTTGAGAATTTCTTTCTGGAAGATGACCATAACATGTTTGTTGAATATTCCACGTAATTCCATGAATTTTAGAATTGTAAATAATTTATTTATAATTTTAATTACAAAAAGTATGTTCTAAAATTTCTGGACAGATCAAGACAAAACCAGGATTATTACTTCAATTATTTATTAGGACTAAAAGTAAATATTGTGCTTGTCCAATTAATTAAAACCTGTAAATTAGTAGTTCATGCATGTGTGTAGTTATAGTTCACTTTTAAGTATCTAAAATTATAATTTCATGCAATGGTTTAATTTAACTGTTTATTATAATTTTGTACATTAATTGATTATTGCATAACATATGTGTAATATTTTATGTTAGAAATTTTAATGAAATGGTATAACATTGATGGTGATTGAAATTTATAATTATTTGTGATTAACATAAAAACTAACTAAAATGATTAACGGCATGTACAAAATTAACGATTGAGGGTTGGTTAATATCGGTAGTTCAGGGTGAACCCTAGTTTTTTATAAAATCCTAAGATGACATGAGACTTATTTGAACCCTCATCGGTATTTAGTTTTAGGATAGAGGTGGATGTGTAGCTCAGGGAGGTTCCGTATCCCTGGCAGACCGTTCCCATGGGGCAGACTACGGATGCCACAGCTTGGGTATATAACTCTGGGTGTGGGCATACTTAGTAACACTTGAATATTTGACTGGGGGTTTTCAAATTAACTGTGGCCATGACTTACTGGTTAGTAAGAAAATCTCTCTGGTGATATTTTGAGTGTCACCTAAACTATTAAAATTGTTAAAATTATTTTAATGGTTGTTATATTGTTATTTTTATTAATTTTGTTATTTTCTCTTAATTAAAAAAATAATAGGTTTGTTGTGTTTTCTTACCATGTTGCAAAACTCATAACATATGTTTTATTGCCCTAGCGTTTTATGTCAGTTTTTGATGAGGAAGAAGTGGAAGCTGAAATTGGAACTGCTGCTAATATAGAGCCTTGGCTGACTTGAAGCCATGATTTTAGCACAATAAAATCTTACTATTTTATGTATTAATGATTTAGGATGTTATAATGTTGCTTAATATTGTATTTGAACCTTTATTTTTATTTTTATTTAGATGGTGTTTGGGAAGTGGGTTTTTATGTAGGTTTTTTTAGATGTAGGATATTATTGAAGAATTTTTTTTTTGTGTTTGGGAAGATAGTTGAGTTTTTTTTGTAGTTAAATGTAATGTTTGTGAGGAAAAAAAAAGTGAAATGATTATGGGGTTGGATGTGATATTTTGTTTGGATGTATTTTTTTTGATTTTGCAAAATTTTTGTCTTTTAATAGAAAAAATGAGAAAAAACCCAACTACAATTCTTCCCAAACACCACCTTAAGTGTAGTTAAACTTTTGGTTGTGTGAGAATTGAAATTTTCCTATTAAGATATTAAAATTTCAATTTTAATAAGTTATTTTGTTATTTAATTTCTTATGATGTTTCAAAAAAAAATATTTTGGGACGTCACAAAGAAATTGTGTGGATGTAACATTACTGTAATAATAAATAGACAATCACTTTCGGTAATACCTCCCATTGCCAACAATCATCTTGGGTCAATATTTCTAACCATCGACAACCACCTCTCATAACTCACATTTTACTTGTTTTTAAAATAAAATTTTAAAATATTATGTACCAAACATACTTTTTGTTTTAATTTTTACTTTGTCTTTCTAGGAGCCAGAATAAACCGACGGTAAGAGCATCCACAACAGCTATTTCTCCTGTTCATTCGGCTTAGCTCTCTCTCACTTATCTCTTTGGCACCAATTTGTGTGTTTGATTAAGCTTCACTTCACCAGCACAATTACATACCTCAAGCTCTAACTTTCTATCTGCAACCCAAGGTTAGTTTTATTTGTTCTTTTTCTTTTACGGCATTTTTGTTGTTGATTTCAATTTAGATATCATGGTTTTACCTGTGGTAAAAAATTAATACTATATCTATTTATTTTGCACATGTTTGCTGTTATTTCAATTTAACTCTTACATTATGAATTTAATAGTGCCCAAATTGTATAGTCCAAATTTTACCCTAGATTGAGCTTCCATATAAGGGAGACATGTTTATGCAAAACTATAGCAATCTCTTCATGTACAAGCCATTTTGCTGGAAGCAAAACAACAACATGGCATGACCTTTGATTTGTCAAGCCAATCATGCCATTTTAGATGTTCATCAACCAGCATTGTCCACTCAACCACACTAAAACACACAAAGTATATGTGGAAAAATGTATTCATTGTACAAGTATAGTAGTGTACAAAGTTTTATAAGGCTCTCACCCTCACAAGTGCTCACTCTTGGCACTCTCTCTGATTCTCACTCTATAACTTTCTTGGAACTCCTCTTTGATGATCCTTACAAATGAGGTCTCTCTCCTTATATGATCATCCATCTCCTCAATAGATATAACTTTTGTTGTGAACCTTTAAAAAAAAAAATTGTTAACATTAAATATATTAAAAAAGATTAAAGGTATATTTAACTTTTGTTGTGAACCTTTAAAAAAAAAAATTGTTAACATTAAATATATTAAAAAAGAAAAAAAAGATTTAAGGTATATTTAACTTTTGTTGTGAACCTTTAAAAAAAAATTAACATTAAATATATTAAAAAAAAGAGAAAAAAAATTGAAGGTATATTTAGCTTTTGTTGTGAACCTTAAAAAAAAAAAAATTGTTAACATTAAATATATTAAAAAATAAAGAAAAAAGATTTAAGGCATATTTAGCTTTCGTTGTGAACCTTAAATAAATAAAAAAAAAAGTGATTGTTAACATTATATATAAAAAATAAAAATAAAATAAAAATGGGGATTAAAGTGGGTTGGGGAAAATCCAAACCCATTAGGATATGGGGAGGGTGGTACCCATGGGGAATGGGAAATGGGGAATGGGGAAAATTTATTATAAGAGAATGGGAATGGGAAATTAATATCCACTCCATTAACCCCTATTGTCATTCCTAAGTCAGATGATGAACTCCTATATATACGTACACATATGCTTGCATGCTTCTCTGATCAGAGAAAAGAAGAAAAAAAAAATCTATGCTTTCTTTTAAAAAGTTGTTAAGGCCTCGTTTGGGAACAGGTTAATTTAGTAATTTTTTGGCTATTTGGCTAAAAAGGTAGGTAAAAAAAACTTGTATGTTTGGGATGACTTTTTGGCTAATTACTAAAAGATGTGCAAAAAGTAGAGAGAAAAGAGAATCTTTGACTTTTTGGTATGAGTTGTTGATTTTTTGGCTAATTTAGTAACTTTTTGACTAATTAGCTAAAAAAGTATGTCCCCAAACGGGGCCTAAGAATGATGTTTAGTTGATCTAGAAATTTTTGTAACAATTATTTTAATTTTGTATGAATTTATATAAAATTTTAATTAAATTTAAAACTGTAGACAGATTTTATTGCATGTTTGAAAAATCATTAAAAATCCAATATTAAATCAAATTTGGTAATTTCTAAATAAAAAATAAAATTTGAAAAGTCTAGTTTCATAATAATTTTTTATATTATGGAATTGATTTATAAATTTAAATGTGGAATTATTTTTAAAAAATGTGACGAATCTGTGTCATGGAATTTCTTGAAATTTTACCGATTTATTTATAACTTATTTTTGGGAATTTCTTTCTAGAAAATGACCATAACATGTTTGTTGAATATTCCATGTAATTCCATGAATTTTAGAATTGTAAATAATTTATTTATAATTTTAATTACAAAAAGTATGCTCTGAAATTTTCTGGACAGATCGAGACAAAACCAGGATTATTACTTCAATTATTTATTAGGACTAAAAGTAAATATTGTGCTGGTCCAATTAATTAAATCCTGTAAATTAGTAGTCCATGCATGTGTGTGGTTATAGTTCACTTTTAAGTATCTAAAATTATAATTTCATACAATGGTTTAATGTAACTGTTTATTATAATTTTGTACATTAATTGATTATTGCATAACATATGTGTAATATTTTATGTTAGAAATTTTAATGAAATGGTATAACACTAATGGTGATTGAAATTTATAATTATTTGTGATTAACATTAAAACTAACTAAAATGATTAACGGCATGTACAAAATTAACGATTGAGGGTTGGTTAATGCCGGTAGTTCAAGGTGAACCCTACTTTTTTATAAAATCCTAAGATGGCATGAGACTTATTTGAACCCTTATTGGTATTTAGTTTTGGGATAAAGGTGGATGTGCAGCGCAGGGAGGTTCCGTATCCCTGGCAGACCGTTCCCTTCGGGCAGAATATGGATGTCACAGCTTGGGTATATAACTCTGAGTGTGGGCATACTTAGTAACACTTGAATATTTGACCAGGGGGTTTTCAAATTAACTGTGGCCATGACTTAGTGGTTAGTAAGAAAATCTCTTTGGTGATATTTTGAGTGTCACCTAAACTATTAAAATTGTTAAAATTATTTTAATGATTGTTATATTGTTATTTTATTAATTTTGTTATTTTCTCTTAATTAAAAAAATAATAGGTTTGTTGTGTTTTCTTACCGTGTTGCAAAACTCATAACATATGTTTTGTTACCTTAGCATTTTATGTCAGATTCTGATGAGGAAGAAGTGGAAGCTGAAATTGGAACCGCTGCTAATATAGAGCCTTGGCTGACTTGAAGCCATGACTTTAGCACAATAAAATCTTACTATTTTATGTATTAATGATTTAAGATGTTATAATGTTGCTTAATATTGTATTTGAACCTTTATTTTTATTTTTATTTTAGATGGCGTTTGGGAAGTGGGTTTTTATGTAGGTTTTTTTAAATGTAGGATATTATTGAAGAAATTTTTTTTTGTGTTTGGGAAGATAGTTGAGTTTTTTTGTGGTTAGATGTGATGTCTGTGAGAAAAAAAGTGAAATGATTATAGGGTTGAATGTGATATTTTGTTTGGATGTGTTTTTTTTGATTTTGCAAAATTTTTGTCTTTTAATAGAAAAAATGAGAAAAACCCAACTACAATCCTTCCCAAACACCACCTTAATTTAGTGTAGTTAAACTTTTGGTTGTGTGATAATTGAAATTTTCCTATTAAGATATTAAAATTTCAATTTTAATAAGTTATTTTGTTATTTAATTTCTTATGATGTTTCAAAAAAAAATATTTTGGGACATCACAAAGAAATTGTGTGGATGTAACATTACTGTAATAATAAATAGACAATCACTTTCGGTAATACCTCCCATTGCCAACAACCATCTTGGGTTAATATTTCTAACCATCGACAATCACCTCCCATAACTCACATTTTATTTGTTTTTAAAATAAAATTTTAAAATATTATGTACCAAACATACTTTTTGCTCTAATTTTTACTTTGTGAGCCAGAATAAACCGACGGTAAGAGCATCCACAACAGCTATTTCTCCTGTTCATTCGGCTTAGCTCTCTCTCACTTATCTCTTTGGCACCAATTTGTGTGTTTGATTAAGCTTCACTTCACCAGCAGTGACCAGCACAATTACATACCTCAAGCTCTAACTTTCTATCTGCAACCCAAGGTTAGTTTTATTTGTTCTTTTTCTTTTACGGCATTTTTTGTTGTTGATTTCAATTTAGATATCATGGTTTTACCTGTGGTAAAAAATTAATACTACATCTATTTATTTTGCACATGTTTGCTGTTATTTCAATTTAACTCTTACATTATGAATTTAATAGTGCCCAAATTGTATAGTCCAAATTTTACCCTAGATTGAGCTTCCATATAAGGGAGACATGTTTATGCAAAACTATAGCAATCTCTTAATAGTGAGATTTGTCTAATTCATGTACAAGCCATGTTGCTGGAAGCAAAACAACAACATGGCATGACCTTTGATTTGTCAAGCCAATCATGCCATTTTAGATGTTCATCAACCAGCATTTTCCACTCAACCACACTAAAACACACACAAAGTATATGTGGAAAAATGTATTCATTGTACAAGTATAATAGTTTACAAAGTTTTATAAGGCTCTCACCCTCACAAGTGCTCACTCTTGGCACTCTCTCTTATTCTCACTCTATAACTTTCTTGGATCTCCTCTTAGATGATCCTTACAAATGAGGTCTCTCTCCTTATATGATCATCCATCTCCTCAATAGATAGTTATGATCATTTTGATCCAAGGGTTAAATATTTAGGACAACTGTCCTTTTACTACCTTCTAAGATTCTTTATAATAAAGTAGTATATGGTAGGCTTCTCAACAACATTCTAGGATGTTGCAGACTCTTTTGGATTTTTCAAAGTTTTTTCACTATGTTTTGGAATCTTCCAAGCCACCCCAGACCCTTTTACCACGTTTTAAAGCCTTCCAGCATATTGTTAACACATTCTCACATCTTCTGAAGCCTTTGAATGCCTCTATAAACTTCAAACGCTACTTCTTATGTCACAAAAACTCTCAAGCAGCAGCAACTTGCTGGTGGCTGTTGCAACAAATAATGAAATGGGAGAAAAATATTGTTATATTTGAAAGAAAAAAAATAAAAAAAGAGAGGATATTTTAATGGAAGATAGTTTAAAAAGAAAGTCTTGTTTAAGTGTATATTGAAAAAAATGACTAACTAAAATAGAAAAATAAGGGTCCATTTGGTTTGATTTTAATAATTAATTCTGAAAGATAATTTTAAAAAAAAATTTAACAAAATTTAAAAATTTGTTTGGTTGTATATTTTGAAAAATAATTTTTAGAAATTTGAAAATTTAAAACTTATTTGGTTTTGAGTTTTTAAAACAAGATTTGGAGTTTTTTATTTTTATTTTTTGTGATTTGTTATTTACAGTAAACTTTTTTCATATTTTTATCATATATATATATAGAATAATGCTTGGGACCCCCTTTTAGGGGTCACCCCCTCACCCCCCCTTTGCCACGTGGCGAGTGGTGATTGGAGGAGTAGGAAAAAAAAGAAGAAAAAAAAGAAAATGTAACCAACGAGAGAGAGAGGGGGTCAAAGGGGGTGGGAGGAAAAGGGGGATGAATCATTGTTGATATATATATATATATATAATTTTTTAGATTCACCTAATCTAAATGTACTTTTTAGATACACTTAAATATAATTTTTGTATTTTAGTCAAATATTTTACTTTTGGAATTTTTTTTAAAAAAAGAGTTTCGATCCATAATTTATTGTTTGTAATGAACTTTTTAAAATATTTTAATCAATATTTTTTAGTTTTTAGATTTTAGATTTACTTAATCTAAATACGCTTAAAGCGGGTATAAAATTTAAGAAAAAATATTTTAAAAAATCAGTAAATACTAGTAAATATACAAATATATATATATATATATATATATATATATATATATTTAAATTTATTTAATCTAAATACACTTAAAATGCATAAAATTAATGAAAAAATCTTTTAAAAGATCACTAAATACTAACAAATATACACACACACAAAAAAAAAATCAATTTTAGATTAACTTAATCTAAATACACTTAAAATTTATAAAATTTATAAAATTTATAAAAATAAAATAAAAATCACTAATACACAGATGAGTTTTTAATTTTGAACCCTCAAAAACCCATCTCAAAATCCAAACCAAATCTGGCCTGAACTTTTGGGTGGGTATTTTGGCTGTGATACTCTAAGCCATTTACACTGTGACGTCATCATTTTGAAGGGCGAATGCTAGTCTACAGTGGAGACTACTGTACTATAATTTATAGTGAAATAACTTGTTTGGTTCTAGAGAAAACGCAAGGAAAAAAGATAAATCTTTGGAGAAGATCGAAACCGTCTCTCACACTCACTCGCAAGTCCGAAACTTCTGGTTGGTATCTCCCTTCCTCTCTCTGTCTCTATGTTATTTTCATCACTATAAATCTCAGATGATGGAGTTTATATATATATATATATGTATGTATTTGGTGAGGGATTGAAGAGGTTTACTTTGGTATAATTGATTTCTTTGGCATTTTGAAATGGCTTCTAGTCAATTTTCGACCATTCTTTTTCTCAAAACCTAATGATTTTTTTTAATAAGAAAAAACTCAGGATGCTAAGTTTGAGATACTCTCCAGCAATTTTTACTAGAAGATTGGAATCAGAATCAATTCAGTTTTCCGGGAAGATTAGCAGCGTCGTGGTGAGCTTCCGTTTTCTTTAAATTTAGCAAGAACTATTCGCGGATTGTTTTTGAACTTCTTCAAGTCAATAGCAAAACACAATCTTTGGTTAGTACCTATCCTCCTTGAGTTTGAGGGGGGCTGTTAAAATATGTTAGTGCATTATATTGTTAGTGTATTCTATGTTGTTATTAGCTGTAAAGTGTGTCCTAGCTGATCATGATGTCTTTGCTTTCGGTCCAACCTCTGTACACTCTTCTATAAAGAAGAGTAAGTTTCTCCTTATGTAATACACAACAACAAGATATCAATCAATACAATTCAATACAATACAGTTCTTTCTCTTTCTTTATACATAAAACTAATACTTATGTCACAAAAACTCTCAAGCAGCAGCAAGTTGCTGGTGGCTGTTGCAACAAATAATGAAATGGGAGAAAAATATTGTTATATTTGAAAGAAAAAAAATAAAAAAAGAGAGGATATTTTAATGGAAGATAGTTTAAAAAGAAAGTTTTGTTTAAGTGTATATTGAAAAAATGACTAACTAAAATAGAAAAATAAGGGTCCATTTGGTTTGATTTTAATAATTAATTTTGAAAGATAACTTTAAAAAAAAATTAACAAAATTTAAAAATTGTTTGGTCGTATATTTTGAAAAATAATTTTTAGAAATTTGAAAATTTAAAACTTATTTGGTTTTGAGTTTTTAAAACTAGTTTTTAAGTTTTTTATTTTTATTTTTTGTGATTTGTTATTTACAGTAAACTTTTTTCATATTTTTATCATATATATATATATATATATATATATAATTTTTTAGATTCACCTAATCTAAATGTACTTTTTAGATACACTTAAATATAATTTTTGTATTTTAGTCAAATATTTTACTTTTGGAATTTTTTTAAAAAAAAGAGTTTCGATCCATAATTTATTGTTTGTAATGAACTTTTTAAAATATTTTAATCAATATTTTTTAGTTTTTAGATTTACTTAATCTAAATACGCTTAAAGCGGGTATAAAATTTAAGAAAAAATATTTTAAAAAATCAGTAAATACTAGTAAATATACAAATATATATATATATATATATATAAATAAAATAAAATAGAAGTGATAAGTAGAATTATAATAAATAGTAAATAGAATCAAAATAAATGGTTAAGGTAGCATTTGGTAACGTTTGCTCAATAAAACCGTACTTACTATTTTATCAGACTTGACTTACCACTCATTTGAAAATGTAATGATTATAGGTTGGATGTGATGTTTTGTTTGTTATGGCTAAAATAGCCTATTTTGTTTTTTGTGGCTAAAATAGCTAAAAAAAACCTGAAAAAGCCCTTGCCAAACACAGGATACACTTACAATGTATAAAATTAATGAAAAAATCTTTTAAAAGATCACTAAGGCCTCGTTTGGGAACAGGTTAATTTAGTAACTTTTTGGCTATTTGGCTAAAAAGGTAGGTAAAAAAAACTTGTATGTTTGGAATGACTTTTTGGCTAATTACGAAAAGATGTGCAAAAAGTAGAGAGAAAAGAGAATCTTTGACTTTTTGGTATGGGTTGTTGACTTTTTGACTAATTTAGTAACTTTTTGGCTAATTGACTAAAATAACCTCTTGCCAAACGAGGCTTAAATACTAACAAATATACACACACAAAAAAAAAATCAATTTTAGATTAACTTAATCTAAATACACTAGGGTTGGTTTGGCAAGGGCTCATTGGGCTTTTTTGGCTCAATGAGCCATAAAAGACAGAATAGGCTCATGAGCCACAACAGACAAAACATCTCATCCAACCCCATAATCATTACACTCTTCTCTCACAAAAAAATTAAAAAAGCCAAAAAGTCAAAAGCCCTTTCCAAACTAAGCTTTTGAGCCCAGGCTCATATAGTCAAAAAAAGGGCCAAAAAACTAAAAAACCAATCCACTTCCCAAACGGAGACTTAAAATTTATAAAATTTATAAAAATAAAATAAAAATCACTAAATACACAGATGAGTTTTTAATTTTGAACCCTCAAAAACCCATCTCAAAATCCAAACCAAATCTGGCCTGAACTTTTGGGTGGGTATTTTGGCTGTGATACTCTAAGCCATTTACACTGTGACGTCATCATTTTGAAGGGCGAATGCTAGTCTACAGTGGAGACTACTGTACTATAATTTATAGTGAAATAACTTGTTTGGTTCTAGAGAAAACGCAAGGAAAAAAGATAAATCTTTGGAGAAGATCGAAACCGTCTCTCACACTCACTCGCAAGTCCGAAACTTCTGGTTGGTATCTCCCTTCCTCTCTCTGTCTCTATGTTATTTTCATCACTATAAATCTCAGATGATGGAGTTTATATATATATATGTATTTGGCGAGGGATTGAAGAGGTTTACTTTGGTATAATTGATTTCTTTGGCATTTTGAAATGGCTTCTCGTCAATTTTCGACCATTCTTTTTCTCAAAACCTAATGATTTTTTTTAATAAGAAAAAACTCAGGATGCTAAGTTTGAGATACTCTCCAGCAATTTTTACTAGAAGATTGGAATCAGAATCAATTCAGTTTTCCAGGAAGATTAGCAGCGTCGTGGTGAGCTTCCGTTTTCTTTAAATTTAGCAAGAACTATTCACGGATTGTTTTTGAACTTCTTCAAGTCAATAGTAAAACACAATCTTTATTTAATTTATTAAGATCCAGTTTGATCAGTTCTACTTTACACAAGTGTAAAATGTAAAAGAAATAAAAATATTATCTCTGTAATTGCCCCATTTTTCATAAGAGTGTGCGATTGTTTCCTCAATTTTGTTCGGTCTTGTGTACAATGAGCCCTGGCTCCAATCCCCAACCCGAATTTTTGGAGTACTTTGGTAATTTCTCGTTGCTTCCGAATTGTCCTAATTTTTATGCTTATTATAGATGAGGGGTGCCTCTTGTAATTTAAGAGAGTTGTAATCGTTTTTTATCATAGTGAAAACCGCAACAATCTTAGATGTAGCCCTATTGTGGGGTAAACCATGTAAGTCCTTGTGTTCTTGCGAGTGTGTGGTTTATTTGATTCATTTATCTTTCTTATTTGTTATTTTGTCTCACCGATCTAACTAGAGTTGATTTCCTAACAAATTTAAATAGGCACTTGCGATGCACCGATGAAAGTCCATCACTCAAAATCATCAGGGTGTCGAAGAAAGTAGGGAACTTGCTATATTATTCTTAGTTTCCATTGGAAAAAGGGGGGAAAAGAAAGAACAAAAATGAAAAAAAAAACTCACTAATGTTATTTGTGAGGTAGGCACCATTTTTGAAGTGGCTACATTCAGGTTGATAGAATGCTATGTAAAATTTCTAAACGAACAGGTCAAATTCAATTGGATTTCAAAGCATGCCCCAAAGTTTTATCCTGCATTTGAAGGAGGACAAAAGCAAACCATAGCAATCATGTTCATTCTACAAGTCTGGGTAATCAATTAACAAGTCACCAATTCATAAATAATTTAAACACCTTGCAGATGTTAATGTCCTATCATGTGAAATTGTGAATTTAAGTACCACAGGTGTTTCTATCCAGTTGCAATTATTTTGTACCATTTGGTTCATATGGGAAATGGCCTTTTTTCTTCTTCTTATCATCTGCTTCATTTTTTTCCTCATTCTAGAGCAAGATGTGTCCTCCTTTGATGCCATTAACTTATAATGAGACAACATTCAATGGCTTCCGTAAGAATCCAACTATTCAGTCTTTGTCTCAAATTTCTTTGTAATAAAACTGAGTTCTTTCTTCACTTGATCCCCCCCTCTCCCCTCCCCAATTCCCAATTTAATTGCTTGTAATTCTCAGGTGTGTGCTGCAAAAGGTCCTCGACCAAGATATCCTCGGGTTTGGAAAACCAGAAAGAGAATTGGGACCATCTCCAAGTCAGTGAAACTTGTTGAGTGTGTAAGCTCCTGTTAATTTTTATTTTTCAATTTTAATTTCTCTGCACATGTATGTACTCAATTCTTTATTCACTGAATCATTTATTGTAAGGACAGTTATAGATATAGCTTAGAATGGTTAACTATTTTTATCTATTTATTTATTTCTTTGTGGAGTAAGAACTTTAAGAATAAACTGTGTAGTACAATTTGTGCTTCATTTTTCGCATTTGGAATAAGTAATTCTAACAGGGGCTATGTGTGTGCAGATAAAGGGATTATCAAATGTCAAAGAGGAAGTATATGGAGCTCTTGATTCTTTCATTGCATGGGAGCTAGAGTTCCCTTTGATTACAGTGAAAAAAGCTTTAAAGACCCTTGAGAATGACAAAGAATGGAAGAGGATAATTCAGGTAAAATATAATCCTTCGTCTGTTTTTGGGTGGTCCTTAAGAAATGTGTTAAAATTGATGTATTATTGATTGATGTATTGATATGTTCTGTTTATTACAAGGAGATGTGCACTCTCTTTTATAGAGAGGAAAAGATACATAGGGTGCCAATTAGCACCGAAAGCATAAAGCAAAGGGGGAACACTCATTATGAAAGCTAGACATAATGATACACTAACAATTATGACTAACACTACTAGATGTACTAAAGATACTAACACTAATATATTTTAACAGCCCCCCGCGAACTCAAGGAGGATAGAAACTAACCAACTTGAGTTTGGAGAGAGGAACAAAATAATAAAATACATAAAAATAAAAGAGGATAGGAGACACTGTATGGTCGTGTCAGACCATTGGTGAAGACACTGTATGGTGGTGTCATAACGTTGTAGAGGACACTGTATGGTTGTGTCATAACGGTATAGAGGACACTGGATGGTTGTGTCATAACGTTGTAGAGGACACTGGACGGTGGTGTCATAACGTTGTAGAGGACACTGTATGGTGGTGTCATAATGTGGTAGAGGACACTGTATGCTAACCGGAATCAATGTCGGGACAGTTTATGGGTCATGTCGGACCGTTGGAGATGCTAACCGGAATCAAATGTCGGGACATTTTATGGGGTCATGTCGGACCGTTGTAAAAGTTGCACCCTCAAAAGGTGTGCCCAATTTTGTCAAAAGGCGTGCCCAATCCATAAAAAGGCGTGCCATCAAAAGGCGTGCCCATGTTGTCGGCAAGCGTCGAGCGGCGCATGATGCGCGTGTCTGCCTTGGCTATTTAACCAAGACGGAGGCTAAGGCTGAGGCAGAGCAAACCAGTCTGAAAAACTCTGAAAAAAACTCTTCGTTGTCTAAGAGAGAAACGCTGCAATACTCTGTAACACCCTGTTGCCCAGAAAATGGCCTCTTCTTCCCGGAGTCTGTTCACTCTCTTTCCCGACCTCAACGAGTCAACAAGAGAGACAACTGGTGTGGTGGCCAGTAAACCTCAACCAAACACCTCTGGTTTTGCTCCGTTGAACTTTCCGATGCGGTCGGTGGAGCAAAAAATGGCGGTGCAAACTGATATTGAGGCCAATCAGTATACTTTGAAGTCATGCGTGGAAACCATGACTGCGGTCATAAATTTGTCGCACCGGCTGCAGAGTAGGACAAATGAGGTGCAGCAGTTAAACGCCCAGCTGGCTCTGCTCCAACGCATGTATAAGGATGCGCGAGCAGAGATAAGTGTGCTAAAGGCGGAAAATAAGGAGCTGAAGCGGAAGGCCACCGTGATGTTCCGATTTGGAGGGCCGCCATATGCTGCAGTGGAGGAGTATGGGGGAGTGAACGTGCTCGGTGGACTAGGAAGCACTGAGGCAACACCGTCAAGGGCCGCCCAGGACGGAGGCAAGAAGAAGAGACCGGCGGCAGAGTAGAGAAGCAAAATCCCGCCTGTGGATGTGGTTGTTTTGTTGTGTGATTTTTTTTTTTTTTTTTTTTTTTTTTTGGTGTAAAATGGTGATCGGGGTGAGCCCCGACTTGAATAAAATGAGTTTGGTGTGCAGTTCGTCTTCTTCTTCTGCCATTTGTTTTTTTTTTTTACAAAGAAATAAATAAAAATAAATAAAAATAATGAATTTGAAATCAAACGGAGGAGAGAGGGGACAAGTCACATGGGTGTCTTGGCCCACGGTTTGGGTATGGGTAACATGTGTTTTTTCTTTTTTTTTTTTTTTTTGAATAATAACAATAATAATAATATAGTAATGGAAAGCATATGCGCTGGTAGTGTGTGGTGGTGTTCTTGTCAAAAGATGCAGTAAAAGAAATATAAAAAATGGAAAAGAAAAACAAAAGGAAAAGAAAGTTGAGTGGGGAACATGAGTGTGTGGAAAGAAGAAAAAAGAAAAAGTATGGGTTGGAGACTGGTTCGGTTTCTGTTTGTGTTTGTTTATTTATTTATTTATTTTATTTTTTATTGGAACACGATGAGAGAGACAGGGAGCGAGAGCCGAGAAGGAGCCTGTGTTCCACTTAAAAAGCAACCCCCTGTTTGTGTGGTGCTTCTCTTTCAACTAAAGAGAGAGCACATCCTAGCCCGAGAGAGAGCACATCCCGCCGTTGCAGGCTTCCTCGGTCATTTTCCGTTCCAACACCAGCAACATATCCACCGGCAAAGCTCACACCAAGCTGCAGAGGCTTGCTGCACTTGCTCTTGTGTTTGGGGATGGGGCGGCACGATCACGATCCTCGGACAACAGCCATCGTCTGATGGTGATGAGGGCTTCTTCAAGACGTGCTTTGGATGAGCTTTCATGATCTCGGCAGCTCGGATTGTGCCGGTTATCTCTTCAACCCGGCCATTGACGTGTACTATTCGAATTACGTCGAGTGCTCCGCATGGAAGAATGCAGGAGATGCAGCACCTTAATTCTCTCTCTTTCTCTCTCTCTAAAGTAGAGAGAAGAAGGAGAAGAAGATGAGGACGTCAATGGTGAATTGGTTATTACCAAACGGTTTATGATCGGAGAAACAATTTTCCGGCGAGAAATCCTTGTTTCCTGGGGCTGAAAAATAGCCGCCAAAGAAGATCTCCGGAGCCTCCTTTGGTGTTTGGTAACGGTTCCTTGGGAATTTAGAGACAGAAAAAGAGAAAGAAAACGGGCGGACTAGGTTGAGGTCCGGCGGGCGGCGGAGTAAGAACTTTAAGAATAAACTGTGTAGTACAATTTGTGCTTCATTTTTCGCATTTGGAATAAGTAATTCTAACAGGGGCTATGTGTGTGCAGATAAAGGGATTATCAAATGTCAAAGAGGAAGTATATGGAGCTCTTGATTCTTTCATTGCATGGGAGCTAGAGTTCCCATTGATTACAGTGAAAAAAGCTTTAAAGACCCTTGAGAATGACAAAGAATGGAAGAGGATAATTCAGGTAAAATATAATCCTTTGTCTGTTTTCGGGTGGTCCTTAAGAAATGATTTCGGATGGTTGGTATCCTTATAAGTGATTTAAATCAATCAAATTATGAATGGGGTTATAGGTGTCAAAGTGGATGCTAAGCAAAGGTCAAGGCAGAACAATGGGTAGCTATTACACGTTGCTAAATGCTTTGGCAGAGGATGGAAGACTTGATGAAGCTGAAGAGCTTTGGAAGAAGTTATTTTCAGAGAATTTGGAGAGCACACCTCGTACTTTCTTTGATAAAATGACTTCTATATACTATCGCAGGGGCATGCATGACAAGATGTTTGAGGTACTTCAGTGACATATTCTTTTGAGAATTTTATAATACCTTATAACATGATTTGTCTATAATTTTGCGAGTGTTTCCTTTCTTCTTCTTCCTTTTTTTCCCCCTTCCTATTTATCTTTTTTCTCTCAAAATGCCAACTCATTGTTTTATAAGCTCATTATGCTTTTGATTCTTGGACCCTCAACATTTGTGTCCCCTCCCAATCAAAAGTAACATGGTAATCTTTTATAGCAGAGTACAACCATCAATAGATGAGTTATTGAGCTGATCTTGCTGCATGTTCTTCGGAATTTGCATATCTGATTCAGGAATAAAAAATAAAAAATCACCCTGCATACAGATAGATATCCATATTGTACCTCTATGCTTGTGCATTCATAAATTTCAACATATGCATATACTAATAGAAATCTGATTATGCATATATTTTGACATACTTTAGATGAATATCCCTTGGTTTGATTTCTGTAAGGATCAACCTTCAATTTCATAAACATGCATATATCCACTTGTCATCTCAAACATAGATATACTGAAATACTGTTCAAACAGGATCGGTGCTTATAGCCCTAAAAAGAGAAGGAAGTATCCTGGAGCTAGTGCACTGATAGTATAAGGCCATTAATGCCTAACCTTATTTGCACACTGGCTTTTGAATTCTGCATTTCAATATATGACTGTGTCGTGTCATCATTTTCATTGAGTTGGGGATTCAATATGATTGGAGGGGAGGCTGGACCATTATTTTTGGCTGTGTAGTTTCATGGACTTCTCTGAACTAGGTATTATTGACTTGTCAATTGCATAGAAATTTTACTATGGTTGAGATTCAATGTTTGACAGTAATTAACTGATGTGAGACAAATGTGAGAAATGCGCTCCTACTAGCAGCGAGTCCAAATCTAATATATAGCAGTGGTGAAAAGTAGGTTCTGAAGGCTAATTTTAGTTGGTTTTAGTGGCTAAAAACTCAATAAATTATGTAGATTATTGGAGATTGTATAACAGAAGGGTAGAGATTTGGGCATGAAAAGGTGAGTTTTTGGGGAATATTCAGGGGCTATTATGGGTTCAGTGAACAATACCCTATCATAGTAATTAGGGGGCTGGGTTGGTTTATTTTATAGCTTGTGATTGAAGGGTTGAAAGAACAATGGATTAAGGTTTAAATTAGGGTTAGGGCTGAAGAAAGGGGTTTGTATAGATCATTTTGGAGTTAAGGCTTGAAATGCAGGAAATTGAGAACCAACATCTAAGGTTTTTATATTTTGGTTGTATATTATATATCTGCTATGCACACAAAACAGACAGCTATTCCTATTCCTTTTTCATCATAAAATGATTATTCGAATTTTCTTCTTTGGATCATAATTCAATCAAAACTTATCGAGTTATCCTAATCTCTAACTTCAATGAAATCGAATTAGTTACTTGTATTGGTAAATTACTACTTTTGAATGAAATCTAATAGGATTCAAATATTTCTTATTTCTTATCGATTCCCGCAAAAAATAACGATTTGAGTAGAAAGCTCTTTCTTTTCTTTTTTGAAATGAATATGTTTTTATGTTATTTAAGAAATTCGGTATCACACCTTAGACACAGCTTTCATTTCAGCTTGGGATCTTATCGTTTTCTCTTGTAGGTATTCGCTGACATGGAAGAACTTGGTGTCCAACCAAACATGTCAATCGTTTCAATGGTTGGAGATGCATTTCGGAAGCTGGGTATGTTGGACAAATACGAAAAATTGAAGAAGAAATATCCACCGCCAAAATGGGAATATCGATACATCAAGGGAAAACGTGTTAGAATTAGAGCAAAACATTTTGATAAATCTGGTGATGGTAGTGATGGTGTAAAGAAGTTTGATGGAGAAACTGACAAGAAGTCTAACGGATTGCAGGATAATGCTGAAGTAGTTTCGGTTAAAATCCAAGATGAATCTAATCTATTGGAGGATTCTGAAACAAGTTTAGATGAACTCGACGAAGCTGTCAACTCTCTGTAACAACGATTCAATGTATATTGTTTATCTGTCCTAATTGCCAAAAAAATACAGGGAAAACCATCTCTCTTTCTCTCTCTCATTTATTATTATTATTATTATTTTTTTTGGGGGGGGGTTCTCTTTCCGGGGGGTCTTTCCTACTTCTCCCCCTTCATTTTGGATAGTTAAACATGCTGATTGCAGTATGCAATTCCCTCTGATTTAAGCTGAAAATAAAAATAGTAACGGTGAATAGGATTTGCAATCTTGTCAAAGTTCATTTCTTTAGGTGGATCCAGGAAGAGTTTTGATAAAATGAATATAAAGTACTAAAAAATATTAGCTTCGTTTGGGAAGTTGACTATTTTAGTAAGTTAAAATTTATGTGTTTGGAAAGATGATTAAATTTTTTTGTAGTTAGATATGATATTTGTGAGAGAAAAATTAAAATATTTATGGATTTGATGTGACATTTATTTTATTGTCTATTTTAGTTTATTTTGTCTTTTTGTGAATTTTAACCAAAAAAAAAAAAAGTTAAAAAGTCACTTGCCAAATAATTATTTCATAAACTAAAGTGTAAAATTAGGGAATAATTAGAGGGGTTTGTCCTTTTTTTTTTATTTTTTTTTTATTTTTTTTTATTTTTCTTTTTAAGGTCACTCATAACATGAAAAAAGACACAGAATGAATACCCTTGAGGGCATAAAACTGAAAGATATGCAAAGCACATTCTTTTTAAGGTTCAAATTATGAAATAAGCAATTCTACAGTTCTCCAAAAAATCAGCAGGGGTGGTGACCTAATGGAGAAGGCATCTCTCACTATAGACATGACTTGGGTTTAAATTTTGGGATGGTAAATTTGGTGTTTTGCAGTTGACTCTCTACAAAGATCTCGTCTTATATTCCGATCGAAATTTGGGTTCATCTGTGACATGTGGTTGAGCTTCATTGGGTGGGTCTCTTCTTATAGGCTGGGGCAAATCAGTCTGGTAACCGATTATCTTAGGCCTAATTTGGGTTCATCTATGACGTGTGATTGAGAGCTCCCAGGGCTTAACTTAGACTCGTCTGTGATGTGTAGTTGAGCTCCATTAAATGATAGCTCAAAATATCTTCTTTTTTTTTCGCTCAAAAAATAAATAAATAAAAATACCAGAAAATAGTCAAAATTTAGAATCAACGGACAAAATTTACTTAAGATCCACCCCACAGCTACTCTAGAAGTAAACTGCTGATGTGAAATACATGCTCAATTTTTTGGTGTAGACTTTCCCTTGTGATGATAAAAAAAAGACTTTCCCTCGTGAATTTATGCAGTGAACAGAAATGATGAGAAAATAAATAAATAAATTATACTTCATACGCTAATCGTAATTTTTTCTTGATTTGATTTTCAATTTTTTTTTTTTTAAATAAAATTTGATTTGACAAAAATAACTACCAACAACATATTTTCATCTCAAAAAATAAATAACCATCTGAAAATTATCAGCTTTATTTTAATTTTCGATTTTCTCACCAAACTACTTTCTAATTTTTTTTTTTTAAATACAGATTTTGAAAACAAACCAAACAGTGGTAATCCTCAAAAAACATTTGGGAATTGGCAGCCCTTCAAAACCAAATTTCAGAATTTTGCATGGCTACAACAAAACGAGAAACACATGGCATAAGAAAAAAATTATAAAAAGCAGATCCAAAAACACTTTTGATTCTGAAAAGAGAAACTTTAGTTCAAAAAAGAAAGGTGAGCCCTAAGTATTTCAAACAGCTGACATGGGTTTCAAACCCAGAAGTTAGTATCGAACTATCAATTCCAGTAGGTTTTATCAAGGATGACACTATTGGCTAAACTTAAAAGAACGCCAAAAAAGAAAAAAATAAAACTTTATTTCTATTAATGAATAGAAAGTTATTTTACTCCTCATCAGATCCTGAACCTTCCGAACTCGACTTCTCGCCTTTTCCATGAGCAGTGCCATTCGCACCGAGCCCCTTCTTATTCGTACCCTGTTTATCCTCATCTTCACTATACTCGCTCTCATAATCATCATATTCCTCTTCTTCAACCTCCTCTTCCTCTTCAGCCCCGTCCTCCACTGTTGCACCGTCCTCCGCCACATAACCACCCCGAGTCCCCGCCCGAGTCCGCTTCAAAACTTTCAACTTTAAGTTTGTTTTTTTGTCGCAACCAATCCAAGAATCGCATACCAAGAGACAACTCAAATTGTAATTCCCCTCTGATGGGGCTAGGAATTTGCCCATCACTAGTCGTGACCCACTCTTAACCCTTTCAACTGCTTCTCTAACAGCTGTACTAGTTTCCTTCGCATTTGACCCGGACCCTTCCATCGCCTCCTCTATTGCTTTCGAAGCAGAAATTATAGCCGTCGCTTCATCCATGAAACTAACCTTTTGAGAAAACCACACATTATTCGAGTTGGTGTCCGCGAGCAGAATCCAGAAATTTTCTTCCTTGTGGAATGGATAGTAAGGGGCATGAGGGAGGGCACCGATCAAACCATTGGAGCGTTTGAGTGTTACCCAAGTCTGGACGGTGACTAAGTCACCATCTTGAATACCCTCCTCGCCTTCAGTCTCGCAAGTGACTTCAAGTGTCAAGGAAGGCATCATTTCGAGAACGTTCTCAATGTCCTGTACTTCCACGGTGGATAAACCAGCTACTTGAGTAAGCAGCTCGGCCCGCTCTTGAACAGTCATGTCTCGAAGCTCCTGAAAAGTCCGCAACTTCTGCAGACAAAAGAAAAAACAAATAAGGATCGAGGATGAAAATGCATCAAGGGGGTCTCTAATGGCTAAAAAGCTGAGTTTTGTCTTCCAGTCTCAATACAGTAGGAGATAAGAGTTACCAAACCGGGAAAAAAAAATCATGGCAAGCTATGCACGTTTGGTTGAGTTTTCAAGACTTCTTTTCTAAATTGTTTTTGAAAAATTAAAGACTAGTTTGACCATTTTTATTTTTTTTACTAGTTAAAAAAATAAAAAATAAAAAATAAAAATTCAAAAAACTCAGCCAAACAGAAATTAGAGATAAATCTTAAAATGGAACTAGATTTTTTCAAAAGCTTAGAGCTTGGCTTCTCTTTTCTTATATGACATTAACATTTCTGTAACTTGTCTTCCATCATAACAAATAATAACAAACTTTGAACAATATTGCAACTACCTTAAATCACATACACACACACACACACACACATATGCATGTTCTCCTAGCTTCATCTCAACTTTCTAATCTATATACCGCAGGATTCTCTTAATAAGATTTATTATAAATTCCTTTATTTCATAACAATTTAAATCTCATGGGGTATAGACAGTACTAGTGCAAAATATTGGTTAACTAGATTAACTAAATTACCACCAAAAAAAAAAAAAGAGAGCGTCTGTATCTTATACCTAGAATGAAAGTGACTGTGTACAAGTTCATACCAGCAGAACCACAGCCAAGTCTTCACATCTTATTTTACATACAAATTTAATAAATGGGAACAAATCTAACAGTTTTGATTTTGAAGTTTGAAAACCGTAATATTTACACAAAATATTGCTTGATTGCCTTATAATGCAAGGATGAAGTAACTGTTTCCTTTCTTATTTTTCGGATTTTTTTTTTTGTGGGGGCACTCCTTGGTAATTTTCAAATGGTTAATGCTATACAAATAGACTATTTTTACAAAAATTTCATACAAAATTATGTGGCCCTCACAATTCAAGACAAAACACCCGTCATTTGGCCTGCTGGTGCAGCTTCTTGTTAGCTGAAAGCTAACTAGCAGGAAACAGAAACTAAAAGCACTCCCAAAACAGGGCCAGACACTATATAAAAAATAATAAATAAATAAATAAAATGCTATATGCAACTCCTATAAGCGGCACCAAGCAGGGCCATTGTTGCTCGAAATTGCAAAAATAACACTGCTACATCATTTTGTATGGGTCTTATGTATAGAAATTTTGGTTGTAAATAATTTTCCTTATCAAATTAAGACCCTGTAAAGGTGGCAATGATGTCCAAGCTGCAGATCAAAGGCAGACAACAAAAGTGCATTCTTTTATGGTGACAAGAAGATGTATGATTTTAACCACTTGCCTTGCGGGCTAGCTTTTTCATAATAGCCTCGTTAAAATGCGGCAGCTGCAGAAAAGGTGCAATGCCTTCAGTATATCCTCCAGATGCCTTCCGTGCACTGAGCGGAACAGCCTGCATTGTAGTTAGTTTATCAGAAACAACAATAGCTTTCTATAACTAGCAGCAGAAGAAAGAAGTCCAAGGCAAAACAAAGCAAGGTAAAACATCTAAACATGAAACAGGGTGGTTTTATGTGCTCAATTTACATGTAATGTCATTAAGACAGAAATTTTTATTTTTTTTGATGAAGTCACAAAATTTTTAAAATGTTTGTCTACCTCTCTGTTAAGAGAAATTTTATTCGCACACCACTTATTTTTTCAGTACACACCATTGCTAAGTTCACACCACATCCATTTTTTATTTGTCTTTTCTCAATGCACACAACATGCTTCCTACAATACCCTCACCCTAACCATCCACCACCCCTGCAGTCCCCTATGTGACTCGTGAACAACCCCCCCCCCCTGTTCCCTCTCCCAACCCTCGGCTGCTACCCCTAATCCCTCCCCAGCCCTTCTCCAACCCCTCCCTCCACCCACTAGCACCACCACTCTCTATCTCTCTCTCTCTCTCTCTCTTCTCTCAGTGTGAGGGACTGCAGGGGTCGCAGGGGTGGGCGGCATGGTTGCAAGAGTGGGGAAAGGGTGGAGAGTGGCGCAAGGGTGGGGGGGATGGTGGTGGCAGCCGGCAGCAGTTAGGTTAGGTTTGGAGGTGTGTACCATTTGTTCTAAATGGTAATTTGGTTGAAGAACAAAATCGTAAATTTAAAAAAATACAAAATTTTGTGTAATGAGAGGATGAGCGGTATGCAAATAAAGCTCGCCTTTGTTAATGCTCCAGAGTGGGTTACCAGGAAAGGATGCTTGCAATCAGCTTTTCTGAGAGAAATGATACACGCTTATGAAAAAGAAACAAGAAAAATTAAATGAATTTTTTAAACTTAAGGCACGTGGATGGAGAACTAAAGAGAACTTGGAAATGTCACCATCTACACAACTGCATGCAGCCAACTTTTTTCTACATTTCATGCATCCAAGCCAATTACCCTATTTTGCTCTTTTTTTTTTTTAAGGTTCAAGGTAATCTCACCTATCATAGATAAGTTAGAGAAAAAAAGGTTAATGTTGTTTGGTAATGTACAACAAAGACCTATTGATGCAATGGTAAGGAAGAGTGATATGATCACTATAAATGGTAATGTTTGGGGAAGGAGAAGACTCAAGCTAACATGGCATGTTGTCATGAAAAAAGATACGAATTTATTTAATTTAACTGAGTATATAGCACTTGATAGAGCAGAATGGCAAAAAAGGATCCATGTAGCCAACCCACTTGATTGGGACACGAGGCTAAGTTTGGTTCAGTTCAAAGTAATCTCACAAATCCAGATAGTGGCACTCTATTAACAACTTGCACTATCCCCGAGACCTCTCTCCAAATGGGGGGATAGATTGTTGTATTTGGGAATCCAATATATGCCACCAGGAGTATTTCACAATTTGAGGTGTTGAGAGCAAAACCTTGGAATCTATTGAGAAAAATTAAGAGTGGATTTGAGTAAAAAGAAAAGCAATGCATGTTTGTGCGTATGAAGGCAGTGTCTGGGCATAGGGAGGGTGAGTGAGTGCGGGCGAGTGAGTGAGTGAGGTGTTTAATTCCTTGAATTACTCTGGATTTCCACATATATATTCAAAAACTCTCGTTATTATCCTGAGTAGAAATATATAGAGTGAACTATCTAAATACAATCAAAGAATTCGACTATAATGATTACTAAACAGAATACAATTTAAACCCTAGATTTTAAAGATCAGAGAGCTTAATTACTTTCAGTAAATAGTTCTCCATACAGACCTGAATAATACATTGAGATAGTTCAAGAACACCAACAGCAGGCCTTAGCCAACCCTGCCCCTGAGCATTGCGCGGTATAACAGCCATCTGCATAGAGAGCAATGCATTAACAATAATAGAGATAAGCTACGGGAAAAGCAGAGGTGACACAACTGTCAGAAATAAAAAGAGAGCAAAAACTGGAAACCCAATTTTCTTATTAAGCATAAATAGGTTAATATGAATCTCTACAACGATAGCATGGTGGCACATGAAAAGCTGAGTATTTGACAGGACAAAGAACAAGGAACAGTCACAGGACTCTCAGGATCTATCAAGATACCTGGCCAAAGATTTCATGGATTTACCATCAGACAAAATTAGAGATTTACAAAGTAAATTTAAATTTTAAAATTAAGAAAGTGAATTTTGAAAAATGGTTCTCAAGATCTATCATCGCTTGTGCTTGAAGCTAAAGAGAACCCACACACACATATTTATGTATATGTAAGTGCATGTACGAAATTGGTTGTATGAAATCGGGCAGATATGCTACATCATTTCCTATCTTATCTTACATTCATCAACTCTTCAAGAAGGCGAGGAGAAAGTTCCAGTACACGTTTGAAGTCACGCTGCAATTCTGGGGATAAAGCTGTCGTTTCACGAGATAATTGGGCTTGAATCAACAACTGTGTCTGCATAGAAAAATCAGGGAAGTAAGAATCTGAAGATTTATTATAAAATCAAATTTGCACAATGTAACTGAAAAATTCTCCATCTTTATTACATCGATTTAAGTCAAAGTAGTACCTTAACTACAGCCGGATGCTGCTTCCAAAACTTTGCCTGCTCTTGTTTAATGTTTTTAAGGTCCAAATTCAACTCACTTCTGACTAACATTAACAGTTTTTTTAGCGGTTCGTCGTCAGTCCTATGAACCGGAATCTCCATGAATTCAGCAGCCTTAATGAAGACATCCATAACTTTGCTGTAAAAGTTGAGTATCACAGAAAAATAAACATTGTAATTGATATCATATGATAAGGTACACATCAAATGACACCTAGAACAACAATTCATTCAACTTAAATGAGGTAAAATAAAAGGAGAGAAAGTTTCAAAACGACGTTTTTAGGTAAAAAGAAACAAGTTAACATAATCTACAAGTAGCATATTGGCCAAAACAGGAATGTAACTTCACTTGGAAATTAATACTACCAATCCAAATACCAGTAATGTGCATATAACAACTCCGCTGGTCCCAAGCCCGGGTAAAGGACGAGGGTTGTGTGTTAGGTAGCCTACAACTAGTACGTGAAAAAGCTGCTTGGATCCCTTATGAAATGAATCCTACTTTGAATTGTTTAAATGCTAGGTCATTCCCCTTAAGTGATTCGTTGTGCCTCCCTCCGGATGTTTCGAAAAGAGAGCAAGGGCACCGCATCGACGCTTGGATACGATGAAAAATGGGCAAAGGGACGAGCGTAGATAAAAAAGCTAGTCCAAGACTATAAGTTTAGAGACGGGTACAATAAACTAAGTGGACGGGCAAGAAAACTAGGGAAATAGAGGATACGGTTTTAAATTATATTATAGTGGCAAGGTTAGACACAGGAATTGGTGTAGAAATAATAGTTGCCAAGAGTCTTATAAAAAATGTAGCTGCAGTTATTAAAAAAGGTGATAGGATTATGTTAGTTAAACTAGTTATTGGAGAGAATATAGTAAATGTTATTAGTATATATGCCCCGCAAGTAGGATTAGAAATCAAACTAAGAGAGATTTTTGGGACCACATGGATGAGATATTACAAAAGATACCTCGTAGGCGATAACCTTATTATAGGTGGAGATTTCAACGGCCATGTAGGAATAGATAAACTAGGTTATGAGAGGGTGCATTGTGGGTATGCTTTTGGTAATAAAAATGAGACTAGAGAGAGTATTTTAGATTTTGCGTTAGCTTTTAACCTGGTAGTAGCCAATACTATGTATAAAAAGAGAGGAGCATTTGATAACCTTTAATAGTAGGTCAATTAGGAACCAAATAAATTACTTTTTAGTAAGAAAAATTAACAGTCTAAAATACAGCGACTGTAAGGTGATTCCTGGAGAGAGCTTGGCATCTCAACATAGGATTTTGGTACTAGATTTGTGCTTTAAAAGGCAACACTAAGCTAGGTAACACTAAGCTAGGAAGGATAGTGGGCGCTGTAGAACGAGATGATAGGACCTAAAAGAGGATAAACTAGAAATATTTAAGAATAGAATGGAGGAAGAAGGTGCATGGAACTTGGAAGATGATACTAACACTATGTGAAACTCGATGGAAAATTGTATGAGGAGAATCTCAAAGGAAGTCCTTGAGAGTCGAAAGGAAAGGGACCCAACTCTAAGGAAACTTGATGATGGAAGGATGAGGTTAGTAAAGACAAAAAAATGGTGCTTTAAAAAGTGACAGAGGAATAGAACTGAGGGAAACCTTAAGAGTTACAAATTGGCTAATCTGGAGATCAAAAAAGTAATGAAAAAATGCTAAATTGAAAGCCTATGATGACCTATACACTAGACTAGATAGTAAGGAGAGAGAGAAGAGAATATCCAAACTTGCTAAAATAAGAGAGAGGAAAACAAGAGATTTTAATCAAGTTTAGTACATCAAGAGTGATGACTCTAAGGTATTGGTGAAGGATAAAGAGATTAAGGAGAGGTGGAAGAACTATTTTGAGAAGTCGTTAAATGAGGAATATGAAGGGAGGTCAAAAGGGGAGGAAATAACCATTCACAAGGAAAACCAAGACTACAAGTTCTATCGTAAGATTAGGAACTTTGAAGTGGAGATTGCACTTAAAAAAATGAAATCGAATAAGACTTTAAAACCCAATGATATCCCTCTTAAAACTTGAAAATGTTTGGGTAAAAATGATTGCTTAGTTGACTAGGCTATTTAGCAAGGTTTTGTTAACTAAGAAAATGCCAAATGAGTGGAGGAGGAGTATTTTAGTGCCAATCTATAAGAATAAAGGAGCTGTCCAGAATTGCAACAATTATAGAGGAATCAAGCTAATGTGTCATAAATGAAAGTGCGGGAGAAAGTGATGGAATGTCGATTGCGAGATATAGCAGAGGGGTTAGAGAATCAATTTAGATTTATACCTAGTAGGTCAACAATGAAAGTGATCTTTTGAGGAAAGTAATAGAAAAATATAAAGAGAAGAAAAGAGACATTCATATGATTTTTATCGATCTTAAGAAAGCATATGATCAAGGTTCTAAAAAGTGGTTGCGGTCGCCGTAACGGTGGCGGTGACGCGGTTGCGGTTGCGGGGTGTAAAGGTCGTAGTGTACCGGTTGCAGTTACCGGAACCGTGAATTTTTTTATTTTTCGCACAATTTGAAAAAAACTTATCAATACGCATATTTTTTTATCCATGATCATATTTATTGGGTTAAAAATAAATATTGATAAATTCTTGTAAATTTTTAAGTATGATCCAATATATTTCATATTTTTAAATCACTATAAACTGAGTTTTTTACATTTTATTTTAATAATTAATGATTTTATATTATACAAAAAATCAATCACTAACTATTATATAAAAGATAAACAATGACGAAAGTAAGAGAATAAATAAAAACCTAAATATATATATATATATATATACATATTTTAACCAAGCCAAATAGATAATGACCACACTTATTATTATTATTATTTTCAAACAATATATAGATAGATACACACAAACAAAATGGTTTAGTGATAACAGCTGAATAGAATAGCATAGGTGAAGCAGCTTCAACAAATCAATAACATGTTATTTATTTTCCCTCCTCTCTCTCTATCTCTTGCTCCTGAATTTTCTCTCTTTATCTTCCCTTTTCTCTCTATCCCTCTTCTCCCATTTTTAGCCTTTTTTGTGTGCTTTTTTCGAAAAAAACAGTTTGGAACCATTACGTAATGGTGCATAACAGGCCGTTACGGCACCGCTACGGCAGCCGCTACGACCGACACACCTGTGAATCTCAATCACACTGCAAAAGCGGCCATAATGGATGGCGGTAACTGCCAAAACCGTTACGTAACGGCGTTATGTAACGGTTGCGGCCGCTTTTTAAAACCTTGCATATGATAGAGCACCTCGGGATATAATTTGATGGGTGTTAGAGAAAAAAAATGTGACAAAAGGCTACATTAATGTGATTAGGGACATGTATGAAGGTGTGATGACTACTATTAGATCGCCGGCTGGAGAGACAATCGAATGTCCAATTACTGCTGAGTTACATCAAGGATCAACTTTAAGTCCTTATCTGTTTGCTTTAGTTGCGAATAAGTTGACGAGAAATATTCAATATGATATGTCATGGTGTATGCTTTTTGCACATGGCATCGTGTTAGTGGATGAGACTAAAGAATGAGTTAATACTAAATTGGAGACTTAGAAGAAACACTTGAATGTAAAGGATTTAGGATAAGCAAAACTAAAACAAAGTACAAGGAATGTAACTTTAGTAATAGTAACAATGGAAACCAAAAAGAAGTGAAAATTGAGAACTAAAAACTATCTAAAAGTGAATATTTTTATTATTTAGGATCAATTATCACAACGGCTGGGGAGGTTAGAGAAGATGTGATACATAGAATTAAGGCGAAATGGCTTAAGTGGAGGAATGCGTCTGGGATACTCTGTGATAAACAAGTGCCCACTAGATTAAAAGGAAAATTCTATAAAACAGGTATTAGACCAACGATGTTGTATGGGACAAAATGTTGGGTAATTAAGAAACAATATGTAGATAAGATGAGTGTTGCTAAGATGAGGATTCTATAGTGAATGTATGGCAAGATTAGCAAAATGAGTATATTCGTGAATAGGTAGGAGTAGCACGGATAAAAGATAAGCTGAGAGAGAATAGATTGAGATGATTTGGTCATATATAACGGAAACTAACAGAAGCAGTAGTGAAGAGATACGATACAGTGACGGCGGAGAAAAGTGTTAGGCGAAAGGACAGACCTAAATTAAAGTGAACTAGTGTAGTAAACAGAAATATGAATCTCCTTAATTTGATTAACCAAATGGCCTCTAATAGAGTCAAATGGGAAGAAGGATTCATATAGCCAATCCATTGGTTTGGTTTGGTATTAGAATAGTACAGCAAACTGGCGCATCATTTTGTTTATAAGAAATATATATATTGAAATTGAATGAACATTAATCCGGCCTTTCTATGTATAGTTCAAATATGAGAATGAATGTGTGTTTTTGTTGAGATAAAAGTCAATTGCATGTATGCGAATAATCAAGATACCTTAAACATATAAGTGCTCATACGTGCAAGAACATGCACGATTTTTAGAAGGTTCTTTTAATCATGGTAACAGCCACAATAAAGATTACTGATGGCCAAATATTCATAATAAACATAATACCTTGGAGCCAACGAAGGTTTCATAAGGTGATAATAGGCATAGAGTGTTTGATGCATGACGTAATTTCCAGTATATCTCGATGACCGTGATAGATACATAACAGCTACCACCAATGGTAACAAAATACAGACCCCAACTATCCAAAGTAATAGTATCCCACCAGATGCCCCATCAATGTTCAGCAGAAACTGTGGAAGAGCTATTCCCATTTGAAACCCCTGTATCAGTATATCATACATCAGTTTCAAATATGCAATGCTAACATTGAGGCAAATTATAGTCGTGGTTCCTATAATTTGTTTCTTGTATCAGAAAGAGTTTAGAAATTTTTTTGGTTTGTTTGGTTGTATATTTTGAAAATAGTTTGAGTTTGAGAGTTTAGAATGATTTGATATTTTGTTATAGTTTAGTAGATATGTATGAGAGAAAAGTGATTGAGAATGAGAGAAGAGAGACAGAAAAAGTGATTGAGAAGATGTATAGGAGAGAGAAAGTGGTTTTGGAAAAAAATTTCAAAAAATTTGAACCAAACAAAAAATTTCAAAAATTGTATCTTGAGATACAAACCAAACAAGCCCTCAGTCTTTCTAGTTTCAATAGTATCAATTTTGTCCTATAATTTTTCATATTGTGTTAATTTACTCCAATTGATCAGATACGTTAAAAAATTGGATAGAAATCAAGGACAAAATGGTTCATTCAAAAGGGAATGAATCATTTCAAACTGGATGCTAACTCTTCCATCACTTTGAGGAGAGTGAACAGACTATTTTGACCCGTGATTTTAGTCCAATTTCCAAATGACACAATGCAAAAAATTCGAAGGTAAAAGTGCTGCAATGAAAACTATAAAGACTAAATTGATACGAGAGGCAAACTACAGGAACTACGGGTGTAATTTGCCCGTAACATTGTTTTAAAATTACATGAAGGGCTTGGCTGTGGTAGAGAAAGGTATGGTACCTGTCTACCATCTGGATGGCCATATTTTTCGAAATTCTCACGAGAAATTGGATCTGTCAGAGCCTGATAAGCCTTGGATATGGATTCCACAAAATACTTATTGGCCTCTGCACATAAGACAAAAAGAGATAAAACAACTATTGTTAGTAAAGTACAAGTCACTTGAGCATCAATTTTCCAGTTGATTTAATATTAAGACAACACTGATGAACCGAAGAGCTAGAACACCATCAACCTGGATCTGGATTTTTATCAGGGTGGTATTGAATGGAAAGTCTCCTATACGCCTTCTTTATTTCCGAGTCAGAAGCTCCAGATTCTAATCCAAGAATACTAAATGGCTCAAATACTTGAATCTGAGTTGAGACACACGAAAAAAGAGAGGACATTATCCCATGTCAACAGAAACCGCAGATTGTCTATGATATATGAATACAACACAGACTTTAATACCAAGCGCTAATTCACAATTTTAGAATAAGCGGAAAGTATAACTTTGAAAGCTCAAGCAAACAAGAACATCACACAGGCCTCTATCATTCGCTACATCCATCTTGTTATTATGACATTGAGAATACTTTTACCTCACGGCTTATGTGTTTAATATAATACACCAGTACGCCCATGATGACCCAAAGCAGCACCAGTGTCATGTTACTACATGTTGCGAAGTTTGAGATCTACAAGAGTGAATTAAAAACAATGCAAATGAGGACAAGATCAATACATAATCGCAACAAATAGTGACCCATCTCCCCAGTATGGTCCAAATAATGAGAATATAATTAACTGTAAAAGACAGGGACTCACCTGTTTAAAAATTGATTTGCGGTACTTTCCCGACCGAGAGCATACTGAGCACTCGCAATGGATGCTTTTTGTTTTCTTTGAGGCAGCACGGCAAAGTTTCAGTATTGTATAAGGCACTAAAGGCAGGGCAATTATTGTCAAAATGAAAATTGGGAACAATGAACTATTTTCTTCTGAAGCAGCCATGGAAGCCTTCAGTTGTATATAATTATTTTACCTGCAAATGGAAATCTAAATAATTAGTGGCTTGGTTTGAGACATATAGTCGCAAATGTGATAGCACCCCATCAAATCCACCATAAGACATAAGCACAGGACTAATGTCTTTGAGCAATTACGAAGGAAGGGGAGGAAAAAAATCTTATTAATTTTCACATTTTACACGTCTTAGTAACACATGATAATTAACATTGAAATTAAGCATCAAAATATCGTATTGTTAATTTAAATAAGCCAATGATATCAAAGTTCAAACAATTGCTTAGGAAACAGGTAATGCCTGGTTTTGAGGAAAACAATGTGACAACTTTAGAGGTTAAGAGAAATCCGTTCTGTTAGGTTAAGATTCGTATTCTCCAATAGAAAAAATAAAAAAGTAAAATATCCCCCACAAAAGAAAAAAGAAACACACCACAACAATTCTTTTAGTGGCCAGTAAAGGGCATTTTTTCCCTTCAGTTTGGTCAAGAACACGCCGGGATTCCCAAAGAAAATAAAGGATAAAAACGCATGCTTGTTACAACTTATAAGCCAATATTCACCTACAAAGATCTAATACAGCGCAAAAAAAAATGATATTCAACTACATAAAAATTATTCTTTACCATAATCAGTAGCAAACACCTTAGCTAAGCCAAATTGAATAGTCTAATTCTTCAGTGGATTAAATGGTGCTGAACTAGATACTGAATGGTAAGTTGCTAATGTGTTTTTATGACTCCCTCTGTATTTTCATCCTATGATTCGTTTTCTCCATTGACATAAACGAAAAATACGATGAACCCAACAAAAATAATTCTTCAATTGATCAATGCAGGGCAATTTTCTTCAATTTGCTCAAAAAAACATTGACAAAGCAAAATTGATTACGCATCACCCTTTGAAATTTATCATGCAAATTGCAATGCTCAAGCAATTCAAATTCTTTAACATATAAATAGTGAAAAAAATACATTCACTGAGCTAAATTGAATGGTTCAATTCTTAGGTGGGTTAACTGGACTTGAACTAGATACTGAAGGGTAAGTTGGTCGTGAGTTTCCATCAGCCAGATCTGTAGATCACACACAAAATTACCTCACTTTGAGATAGAAAATTCTCATCATACAAAAAATTCCAAATTGAACCCATTAAACCCAGTGTAACACTCATCAACATTCCGATCTTGAAACACGAAAAAAAACCCAAATCACATCCGAGATTGAATTGAAAACCCAAAACCCAGTACAATTCATATCAAAATTATCTGACTTGAAACCCAAGATTTGCTTAAAAGAGTACATGTTTGTTTGTGTGTGTATGTATGTGATTACCTAGATATGGAAAAAGATGTCGGAGATCTGCTTCTTATTGTATGACCCAAAATGGGTTGGTGTTAGGAGAGCGCGAAGGCTTTCAGAGAAGGTACATGAAGGGACGAACGAAAGGGGTCTGACACGGTAAATATGCTTTGATCCATTAAAACCCTGAAATTTTTCTCTTATGTTGTTTTCCTATTTTAGCCCTTGCTGTGGTTTAAGGAATCATCAACAACACAGGGTTATAATTGTCCGGGTGCTTAAAATGATGAAAATATATTTTTGAAATTTTTATTAAAAAAAATGTAAAAATAATAATATGACTCCAAAAAAAAAAATGCCAATATTGAAAATATCAAATAATACCTTAACTAAACATTAAACAAAACTTGCCATTTTGAGATTGTATGATCTGAAGATTTTGCCCGGATAATGATTTTGGTAAATTGGCAATGTTGTAACTGAAGTATGAGTATTTGCCTGGAACCTTTGTATCGAATTTTTTATGTATACTCAGAATTATTTGGCATATTGTTTGACAACTGTTTAGTTCGGTTAAGTTTGCCGAATTACTACCTTTAATTCGGTTGAAATTTGTTGATTTTTTTAAATATATTCGACAGTTCAATACTGAACAAATGTTAATTTTTTTTATTTTTTTTTTTTGCAAAAACTCACCACTACAAAACGAATCTCTATTGAGTTACGAACCTAATTGAAATTGTGAACTTTTTATAAGCTAATATTGTCATGCTTCATTCATCTCATTATACTGAGTTTGTCAAATTTTGATCTAAATCTAATTGGAAAATGCTTCAGTTATGATAATTGGGTTTATCTAAAGAAGGGGTAGGGGTAGTTATCGGCCCGCCTAACCTAGGACTGTTCAAAAATCCGTTCAAGTCGGTAATTTGGACCGAACCAGACCAAATCGTACGATTTGGTTTGGTTTTATTAAGAATTTGTTCGGTTTCAGTTTAAGAAATATGAGAACCGTAAAAACGGTTCGATTAATGAATTTTACGAAAAAAAATCACGATTCGAACCGGATCGAACTGAATTTTAAAAGATATATATATATATATCAAATTTTATTTTTATTAATTGGTTTTTTGTAATTTTAATGATATTAAGATAATATAGATATGTAATGTTGAATAATGCCTTAATATTATTAATTTTTATCATGAGTTAAATGTAATTAGTTTGAGTAATTATTTTGCTAATATTAACAATTTATTCTTGTAAATATAAATTTTTGGAACCATGAACCAAACCGAAACCGAACCGTTATTTCGGTTTGGTTCTAGTCTAGTTTTATAAGTGTAATGATCTGGACTGGTTCTCAAAATCACAGAACCGTTAGAATCGGTTCAGTTCTTAAATTTTCTCAAAATCGAACCAATTTGGACTGTGTACACCCCTAGCCCAGCCCAACCTGATATTTTTAAGGTTTGACAAAATTATTTTGCTAATAGGGTCGGGTTTTATACCCATCTAATATTATAACTAGACATGGAATAAAGAACTCTAGTCCAAGTCTATTATCAAAATATTACTTATAAAATATTAATTATAATTTTATATTATTTTAATTATAAAATAAGGTAAAAATATACATGTAAAAGACAAAAAAGTATATCTATACTTCCTTCTATATGACTTAAATTAAAGCATTTTTAAAATTATATTTATTTCATCGTTAACATTCCATTTCAAATAATAAATAAAATAATATAAATAGTTTAATATTCATTAAAGATAAAAATAAAAAATAAAAAATTAATAACTTATATCTATTGAGTTAAATAAGTGGGTTTGATATTTGAAATTTCTTTAGCTTCGATGTTGGGATGACTAAACTAGGGTTGATATTGGACCACGACGGGCTTAGGATAACATATACTCTTGTTATGTAGTGCAAGTTTGGCCTGAACTTGGCTTGGCTTGAGGTATGTTAAATTAAAGCATTTTTAAAATTATATTTATTTCATCGTTAACATTCCATTTCAAATAATAAATAAAATAATATAAATAGTTTAATATTCATTAAAGATAAAAATAAAAAATAAAAAATTAATAACTTATATCTATTGAGTTAAATAAGTGGGTTTGATATTTGAAATTTCTTTAGCTTCGAGGTTGGGATGACTAAACTAGCTTTGATATTGGGCCACGACGGGCTTAGGATAACATATACTCTTATTATGTAGTGCAAGTTTGGCCTGAATTTGGCTTGGCTTGAGGTATGTCCTCCTCAGTTGAGGGTGTTAAGAGAGGAAGAGTAGAGAGCGATAAAGAGTGAGAATTGGGCTGGGGTTATCTAGGTGGTGGTGGGGTGGCACCAAAGCTGAGGGTTGTTGGTGGCTAGAATTGGGATTAGAAGGTGGAAAGGATGAGGGTTAGGGTTTTAGAGATAAAGGATGAGGACACATTTGGAATTGTATGTTGGGATAAAATTGTAATACAAAAAATTTAGAAAGGGTAATTTTATTTACAACCATCGATTCTTTCGGTATACATCATTACTTAGTATACATACATACTAATTTTTAGATTGTGATATACACCATTGCTTAGTACACGTACATACTAATTTTTAGATTGTGAATGTGGGTGTTGATTTTCAACCACACAATCAAACGGGGAATTCAGCTGGAGAGCACCGACAGAATAAATTAAGCCTGAACAACTTGACACAGAAAGACAAGAATCCGGCAGTGGTTCATCCACCCAGGGGCACTCCGACAATCAAGTCAGTAAATATCTCTCAAAGATAGTAAATTGTGCTTAAACTTATAAGAAAGAACTTGCTGCTCACAGTATATCGCACATATCTCAAACCCACAGGGGTGCCCTGTTTTTATAGCCAACCCTGACCTGATCCCCGTAAAAGCCTTACTTTAGTGGACTCAGGCTCAATGCTTATCCTAGATCCTCAGTTAGATAGGGATAAACTCCCTAAAAGTTTTATTTTTATCCAGACTGAGATCCTCCCTGGTTCTAGGACTCATGTCCTTTATCCGCTCATCTCGGATTCCGATATCTTTTCAAGTAACCTCGGCCTAGCCAAGATCACCTCGGCGCCAGGACCAGCCCATGTGGCACCTCGGCTGACACCCCGACGTCACCTGGGCCACGTGCCATCATTAACAAAATCTGTTCCCACAGTGAAAATATCTTAATACACACCATAACTTTCCATTTTTAAACATAAACTAATTACACCGCTACCAAAATGTTCATTTTTTGACGTATGGACATTTAATATCTGATCAACCTTAATAATTTTGTTCAAATATAAATAATTGAATATTTTATAAATGTTCAACTCTGGGTGTCCAAATACGTGACAAATGAACAAACCATCTTCTAAACAAACAAGACAAAACAAAAAAGTAAACTGACATTTTCATTGTTATATTGTTTCAAATCAACAATTTGAGTGTTATCCATGTTGTGCAAATCTTCAAAAGCATAATGTTTTGAGTTTGAAAAATAATGGCGAAAATTATAATGGCGAAGATGATGTGTGTATTGTGTTAAATTATAACGACGAATATGATGAGTGTAGTATGCAATATTATAATGGTGAAGATGAAGAGTGTCGGACGAAAAATTTGTTCCAAAATATATAATGTATAGAGATTTGTATTTTCATATGTGAATTACTTGAATGTGTACATATACATCTATATTGTCCTCAATAGTTATTTTACTTAAAGGCATTATTATTATTAAATAAATTTAATTAAATAATGTGTGTATTGAAAGGATTTAGGAAAAATTATGCAAATAGTCTTTGTAGTTTACACGACGTGTTAATTTGGTCCCTGTAGTTTCAATTCGTTCGATTTTGCCCCTTAATTTAACGAATTGTATCATTTTAGTCCCATAAATAACGGTTGTTAAGTTAATTTAACGGAAAGGCAAACAATGTGTCAATTTGGTCCATGTATTTTCCACAACGTGTCACTTTAGTTCTTGTCAAAATCGAGAAAATTGAAACTACAGGGACCAAATTGACACATCGTGTAAAGTACAGGGACCAAATTGACATATTATTTGACCTTCCGTTAAATTAACTTAACAACCGTTATTTATTGAACTAAAATGACACAATCTGTTAAATTAAGGGGCAAAATCAAGCAAATTGAAATTACATGGGCCAAATTGATACATCATGTAAACTATAGGGATTATTTGCATAATTTACCCAAGGATTTATGATGTATAAATAGAATCTCCCATTTAGAAATTGTAAGGTACAAAGAAAAAAATGGAATGACATTAACAACACTCATTAGGAAACTACTCATCTCCATATTATTATTTATTTTTTCATATTTCATTTTATGAGTTTTATTGTGAGCACATATGGATAATTCAAATCTTTAATTACATATATATTTTTATTTTTTATTTTAATAAATTATTTTATATTTTTTATAAATATTTTATTTTTTAAGTGCTACTCAAGGGGTGACTCGTACGAACTCTAGAGGTGGCCCCCACAATAGTGTAGTACTTAGCTCCGTACAACACTTTGCTCCACACCAGAAATCATAGTGTCAATGGATCCATGACAGACAGAGAATCACAAAGTGACTAATCAGAGGGCCAATGGTTATTTAAGTCCCCCAAGGCGTGGGACCTCCGTGGTGGTACTTATAAAATAATTACTCAAAATACATTTAATAAACAGTTAATTCATGGGTTTTCCTCGTTTACAAAATATTGTAATTTTTAAAAGATTTATTAATGCTTTATAACAGTACTGATAGAAATGCCCACAAAACACAACCCTAAAATGATTTGGACCATTCATGTCGCTGTCACAGATAGAAGAAAAAAATTCAAACACATTAATAGTCAATACATCAGTGGGGGTCGTGGGGGTCCTCATTTGTGGGGGT